AAATATTTAAAAAGCATACATGCTCATTTAAAACATGACACAATATAGAGAGTAAAAGCAGAAATTTCTCATGACCCTCAACTCCAGAGATTATCATTTTCAACTACTTAGTAGTTAATGTTTCAATTTGTGTGTGTGTGTGTTGCTGGGAATTGAACCCAGAGCCTTATGCATGCTAGCCAAGCACTCTACCACTGAGCCAGCTCAAAATTGTTTTCTACACATATCCACCTATGTATGCCTATTTTATAAAACTGGAATCATGCAGTTCTATTACTGGCTTTAAAAAAATATTTCATATAGACATATATTTTCACATGGATCTACCTCATCTATTTAATACTAGGCATTTGTACTCTATTGTCTGTACAATGAGTCAGGTTACTGATCCTCCAGTCAAAGACTATTAGGTGGTTTCCAGTTTTGTTTTTGCCATCTTTTTTCTTTTCTTTTTTCAGTACTGGGGATTGAACCCAAAGCCTCACACATGCTAGGTAAGTGCTCTACTACTCCTAACCCTTTTTATTTTAAGATAGGATTTTACTAAGTAGCCCAGGCTGGCTTTGAACTTGTGATCCTCCTGCCTCAGTCTCCCAAGTAGCTAGGGTTACTGGTGAGCACCACAGCATCCAGCTTATTTTTGCCATCTTAAGTAACCAACAAATCCCTTTCCTTTGTATACATACATACCTGCTTAGTTTCTGGAAATAAATTCCTAAAATTGTAATTTTTGGGTAAAATAGCTTGCACTTTTAAAATATGCTACAAAATTCTACAATAAAATTTACAATAAAATGTAAATTTATTGTTCTACCAATAATGCCCATTTCTTGATAGTTCCTGTTAATACTGAGTATTATAAATCTTTTTAAAAATTTCTAAGCAGAAGATAAACAAACAAGCCTCATTGTTTTATTTTGCATTTTAGTTAGATTGAATGTCTTAAAATTTCCAATTTAAATAGATTATTTTGAAAACATATAACCATTACAATACTTGAAATCATTTGCAATAATCAGAAATAAACATTTCTTGGTGTATATGAAGAGTTAAAAATAACCCTGTCACAAAGTATCTCTAAGTTCATTATAAAACTGCATAAAAATCAACCTCTCACATTGCAGATTGCATTAGAATTAAATTCAGTATGTCTTTCAACACATAAAAGAGAAAATGCATCACACAGAGGAAATTAGTAATTAGTGAATTCCTTAAGGGTTCTATCTTTAGAATCAATAACAGTTCAATATTTTCTCATTATTAAGATTATGATTTGGGCACAGAGAAGGACCCACAGGAAAACAAATGGAAATATGTCTGCACATTTATTACATATGCTATTACTGACTGGCTGTATGTATAATATATTTTGCAGTCAGTACAACAGGGATCAAATAACATGACATTATTTGGCTGGATGCACTGGCACATTGGTAAAGATCCTATTCTTTGTTCTTTGTTAATGTGTAATGACATCTAGAAGAGGCACAAAATATACAAAGCATTGGACACTGCCTGCCAAATGATACATAAGCACAACTATTTTTGGTTCTGTACATTTCTAGTCAAATTCAGCTGGACACAGCAGGGAAGAAACCAGCACAGTTCTCAACTGTGTTTGCTCCCTGCAATTGAACTTCTTAGCATGGCCCCTGAACCAACCATTGAGGAGTAAGAGCTGCTTCTCCCCTCCACAAATCAAAAGATGTTGCTGGTTTCTAATTTCTAATTTTCTAGACATTTAGATATTCACATTTTACTACTTAGCTGGTGCAATCATATGAAATAGTTTGCTTTTAAAGGAGAATTTAATATACAGCATAAGATACATCATTATTTATGCTTACAGTATTTAAAATATGGCAATGGTATCTAAAAGTTTTTACAGAATTTCATACTCAGAGGTTTGGGCAGAAACATCATTCTGCCATCCTGATGTTTTCTTGGTTGCCACAAAGTTGTGCAAGGTGCCTGTGAGCCTTATAGCTATTATATCATAAATTGGACTTTGTATATCCAGACTTTATGCATACTGACAATGTGAAAGGAAAAAAAAACTGTTCTATTTTCTTTGCAACCGGATATAAAAAGCAAAATTACTAGAAATTCTCTTGAAAGTTGTAAAAGTATGGTTGCTAATCACAGGGCTTGTCCAATTTGAAGGCAGAACACAAGACTAAATGACCTCAATCATCCTTCAGTAGCTCTGGGAAACAAAGTCCAACAACGGAAACTCCTAGTATAAAAAGTGTGTTCTCCCATCTATATCTATAGGCCTGACTGAGAATACCTTGGGCTTTAGGTAAGTTGAAAATACAAACCTTTAGTGTGGGAGACCGCCCTGCCCATGAGCTGAGCATCCTCTCTCAGCATTGAGTAAGAAGGGTGTTTGGTCTGGCATTGAACACCATGCACTGTGCAAAGCAACTGACCTCCTTTGCTGGGCAAAGAATTTTGCTCTAGCCCTGGACTTGGGCATTACCCAATGGGATTGGACAACCCCCCTTTAAAACCTTATCCCCTGCCTTGTTTGGCGAGGAATATTCTCTCAAAACTCCTTTGTGTGTCCCCATCCCCCTATAAAAATAAAGAGATTCTGTGTGCATGCTCTCTTTTTCCAGCACCTTCCAGCCTGGAAGCTGACCCTTAAGATGGCAGAGCAGTCCCACACTCGATCTGAGACACTCATGTCCGTGTGTTGCGTAATTTCTTTGCTGTTTTCTTAGTTTAATGTTGCAGCCAGCTCCTTTGAACCCAGTTCATCTCATCAGTGCAGGTCCATGGCGAGTTTGTCCTGTCTGCTCTCTTTTCTCTAAGGCTCACCTTAGTTATCTTCTTGGTCAGAGCTCCTTCCCCAGGCCTCTGTGAAGACTCTAAGCTGTTACCAGTTGGCAACACTTGGGGATGAGCAGAAAATTTTCAGTGGAAGCAGTTTCTCCAAAGCCGGAAGGAATAACATAGCTCAAGAAAATAGCAGTCTGGGAAGTCAGATCAGTCAAACAGCCCAGAGAGACAGACAGTAAGTGAACAGACAATGTGTGGAGGATGGGAAAACAAGCAGGCAAACGAAGTTCAATCCAACATGTGATGTTGCATTGACACAAATTCTTTCATTAGGAGCAAGAGCAAAGTGGTGACATGTGGAGATGATTGCTGGATTCCTGGAGGTTCCAATCATAGCTTCAGGGACCATTTAAAGGAAGAGGAATGTTTCTGACAGTAGGGGTAAAAACTGAGATAGACCCACATGTGAAGTTTCCAGTTACTATTTAAGCAAAGAGTGATGGTCAAAGTGAATTCCCATTCTAATTAACAAAAAGTTGTACAATCCCCCAAATGCCAACATGAAATTCTTAAATAAGGCCCTTTAATTTTTTTTGTTTAATATAAAGAAAAAAGTAGGAAGGGTTTTGTAATTTAGAAAATGTTACACAGATAAGACTTTATTTCCATGAATTTCTTAAATCAAATGCTTTTTAAAAATCTCTAAACAAATTTTCCCCATTATATAATGTACACTACTATACCACACAAATATACATAATCATTACTCTTAAAAAATAATAAATAACAGATGATAAGATCTAACAGACTGTAAAACATAACATATTGCAACAAATTTAACAGTAAGAAAAATGGTTACTTCTCTGAGGATCTTGAACCTCTCTAACAATTTAGAGAGTTCTCTTTAACTTAACAGATAATAAAACTCTGCTTTGGATAAGGCATTGCTTTCTTGGAGAATAAGGCACACATCGCTAGCATTATAATTCACAAATCTGTAAGAAAATCTGAAGATAAGAGATGGCACATAGGTCACAAAGAAAAGAAGGTTTCCTCTGGGATACTGACTTTAATATCAAAGTAACATGAAACTGTGGAAATATAGTCTATAGCAACTAAATTTTCCTCCTGTAATACATACTAATCATTTAGTAGAAGATCCATCTGAAAGAACAAAGGAAAAAGCAAATTTCCTAAAACTACTTTATTTAGAAAAAATAGTTATATCCCTGAAATATCAGGAAGATTTTAAAAAGATGATTTAATTAGTACAATATTTTAGAACAGGGTATAGACAAAGTGATAGCAACTAAAACTATTTTAATGGCACAATCAGGAGTTTACCTTTAAAATGATATGTACCAGAATTTTGTTAATGCTATTTGTTAACAAACGTCTTTTTAAATTTGGTTATGTTTTTTAAAACACTAACATGAGATTCTTGAGTGAAGATACTAAATTTAGTAAATGTAACTACAGTTAACATGTTATAACTATATCTTAAATTGATTTCTGAAATCATAACCTAGGTCTAATGTGAGTCACTGTCTTTTATGAATGTTATGTCTTACGAGGGCTCTGAATCAGATTTTGCCAGTAATCATAACTCATAAAGTACTTTAAAAGTTAAGTTTCTGTCAGAATTGATATATGTGAAACAAATACATGTTAGCCCTCACTATGCACCTTATTCATAATCTCATTTATTTTGGTCACTTCATTGTTTCAACATTTCAAGAAAAAGTAGACCCAAATATGGTTAACTTTCCATAAAATTGTCATCCTAAAATTTAAGCTTTTCATCAGGAAATGGACTAATTTACAAGTATAATCCCAGACAACTAACTGGATGTCAATCTAACAAAACTACTAATAAAGCCACAGAAACACAAGCAGCAATAAAAACATATCATGGCATAAATAAGAGTCTAATATTGCACTAGAGTGACATATATGAGATATAGAACAAATTTTTTTTATGGTATTAGGGATTGTACTACCACTGAGCTATATATTTCAACTCTTTTATTTTTTTGAGAAAGGGTCTTGCCAAATTGAGGAACTTGTGATACTCCTGCCTTAGCCTGTAAGTCGCTGGGATTATAGGTGTGTGCCACCATACCCAACCACTATAAATAAAATTTTTAAGAAAATTATAGATAACTTTCTGAGCAAGAAGTACTCAAAAATTATAAAAATTAAACAATATAAGTATCTGTGTTTTAAAAATTCACTTTAATGTTGGCTACCCTTCATTATCATCATCTGAACCATTTGCTTCTCTATGAGCCATGTAGTTACATCAGACATCAATATGAATTCCATGTTTTGAAGACATCACTTGTCTGGTCCCTGTTAAATACATAGCAAATGAACAGATATGAGGTAAAGATGATGTGGTTATCACATAAAGCCAGAATGGCAAAGGAGAAGTTTTTCCAAAAGGGCACATCCACAAGCCGTGACGAATTCCATCTCGAATATGGTGCGAGGTCCAGGATATGAATAACATCCAAGGAAGAAAACACCATGAATCTTTGAGCTTGAAAAGGTGCATAGTAAGCTTCAGGATCAGAACCACAATGGGTATCACAGTAGAGCAGTGAAAGAAAGGTCTTCGTGGAAGACTCAAAGCTGCCTGTGGGGGAAGCAGGAAGTATAGTTTCCTTCTTGGCAAAACAACACTTTATAGCTGCTTCTGAATCTTAACATATGCAAAGAAAATGTAAGGGAAGAATACCACCTCAGAATACATATGCCACATTTATATAAAGCAAAGAAGATAAAAGCATGAGCAGGGTATCCTTTGCATTAAAAATGAAATCAAGGTCTCAGGACACAGTGATTAATTTTTTAAGTTTTGTATTATTTGCTTAGAAAAGCCAAAATATAAACATAGTTTATATCCTAAATATATGGTTTGTGTAGTTCTGATTTTTTAAATTTAAGCTTTTGATTGACTGACACATAATAACTGTACATATTAATATGGTGTAGTATGACATTTTAATATACGCATGTGATATGTGACGATCAGATTGGGGTAAGTGGCATAGACACCACTGTAAATGTTTGTCATTTCTTTGTGCTGGAAAAATTCAAAATTCTTTCTATTAGCTATCTTGAAATATAAAGTTAATTTTGGTCAACCACAGTTACCCTACTATGCTACAGAGCATAAGAAGTTATTCTTCCTATACAAATGCACCCCTGCACCCATTAACTATCCTCTCTCTGTCATCTCTACCTCCTATAATTTGAATTTTAACAATTTGCCTGGGACTCTAAGAGCAACAATAACAACAACAAAATCTCACGACCAAATAAAATATTCCTTATGTAATGAAGGCAAAAAAAGGAGAATGTTTTTATTATAACCATTTTGTATTAGCCAGAATACCTTCAAAATTTACTTACCATATTTAGAAAGAGCACATTATTTTAAACAAGTATTCTAAAGTGGAGTTAAATAAACATCAATAAAATTTTAAAATCATTGCAAAAAATATAATCAATATTTGAACAAATGAAAATTTCAGGCTTAACCCCTGAATGATCTGTAAGATTTTGTTCCTATCCACTTTAAAGGCCAATTTGCAATTAGATGTCTCCTAGCAAAAAGAAAGTTGAGGACAGCAATGATCTTACAGGTCTATGTCTCCCCACACATTCTCCAAAAACCTACAGAACAAGAAGGACAAGGAAAAGTATACAAAGCCCAAACTCTCAGCATAGCTAGAAGTCAGAGAATGCTCCATCTCCAAGGTATCTGTTAAGTATTAAAATAAACACCAAATCAATGGTCTCTCAAGCCCTCTCACCCCACCACAGCCAGAAAAAAAAACTATATTGAGAGAAAGGAAACCTAAGATTGATACAAAAGCACCATGAGAAAGAGAAATTCAATCTAAGAGTGAAAATACTAAAAAGGGGCCTGGTGACTACAGGGAAAGGATTTACCAGTGTACTTGATTCAAGGCTTTGAAAAGCAAGGACTCTGGGGAAGAGAGTAAAAAAGAAGGGAAGGGGAAGGGTGCTCTTTGGAAACTGGGTGGCTGTTATGGTTTGGATGTGAGGTGGCCCCCAAAAGCTGACCTGTGAGACAATGCAAGAAGGTTTAGAGGAGAAATGATTGGGCCATAACCTTAACCTAATCAGTGAATTAATCCTTGATGGGATTAACTGGTGGTAGCTGGAGGCAGGTGGGGTGTGGCTGGAGGAAATGACTCATTGGGCGCATGGCTATGGGATCTATATTTTGTATCTGGAGAGTGGAATCTCTCTCTGTTTCGAGATCATCATGTGAGACTCTTCCCTCTGCCACACTCTTCCTCTATTATGTCTTGTCTTGACTTGAGCCCTGAGGAATACAGCCTACTATGGATTGAGACCCCTGAAACCATGAGCCCTCAAATAAACTTTTCCTACTTTACAGTTGTTCTGGTTGGGTCCTTTTTAGTCACAATAGCGAAATAGCTAAAACAGTGGTGAAGGGATAAAAGAATGAGAAGAAAACAAAAAACTGGTTCCCTGTTCAAAAAAAAAATCACATAAAAAAAAAAGTTATCCTCTTAAGAGACTGTATCTTGTCACACTGTCAAATCAGATCACCTTTAACTAGGAATCCTGTAACCCATCCCCCATCAAGCTAGCATTCTTCAAACATCAGAATTCATTCCAAACTCGTCTTACTCCCCCTTCTCCTCCATATTTTAGGTTGTTTTACTTCTATTTAATTAGAATATATAACATTTCTGTATTATTATTCCACTTTTGTCTCTACCTTTGTAGTTATATATCCACAATACATTTGGTAAAACTATTAATGTAAAGGAAAAAATTTTAAGGCCTCTAAGCAAAATGACTAAATAACATAGAAAAGCAAGAGTTATTACAATGGCATTGGACTTAACAATGACAGCAAAACAAAGTAAGATAACAGAAGAACAGTATTTTCAAAATGCTCAGGGAAAGAAAATGTGAGCCAAGGATTTTATATTTAACCAAGCTGCCTTTAAACACCAAAGCAATAATAATAGTATGATATTAGCAACAATTTTAATATGTAGTATTTTTCTATTAGTTAATTGTTTCAAATAAGGAAGAAGTCACAAAAAATGTAATCTTTCTGAGAAATCTGTAAGCTTCACCCAAATAAGAAATGACTAAGAAAACCTGAGCAAACTGACTAATGATGAACATTTAATATTTTTAAGTGTAAATAAAAGACTTAAAAGTGAGGACAAGAGTATAAAAATAATATATAGATATTGTACATTCTTAGAAGAAATAAAGCAACCAAAAAAATAGTAGGAGAAGAGGGGGGAAAGAAAAAAGTAAAGTGAGCTCTAATATTGTTGTTTAGCTGATAGCTAAGAATTAAAAGATACTATTAACAATTAACAAACAAGATAGTTAAAGGTTAATTAAGAAAGTGGAAGCCTATAAGTATTAAAAAGATATATGAACAGAAATAATACTAGAATATAAATATAAGCCTTCCTAAAGAACAAAAGAAATTTTAAAAATAAAATGACAAAGAAAGTACATCATAGAGATAGGAATATACCAAATATAATACACATAATTGAACAAAATAATGGCCAATTTTAGATTAAACCTATCAATAATGTTTATAAATATGAATGGGTTTATCTCACTCATTAAATGGGTTTATCTCACTCATTAAATGAAAAAGACCTTCAATTTGGCAAAACCAAATCCAATGATATGCTGTATATTAAGGGAAAAAAATAAAATAAAATTCAGAAAGGCCCAAAACAAAGGGGCAAAAGTAAAGCAGACAAATAAGAAATAGGGGTGGTGATACTGATATCAGACAATCATAATTTGAGTAAAAAGCATTAAATTATCTTTAAAAAGCCACTAAAGGGCTGGGGTTGTAGCTCAGTGGTTAGCTCACACAAGCCTAACATGTGTGAAACACTGGATTCAATCCTCAGCACCATATAAAAATAAATAAGTAAAATAAAGGTGTTGTGTCCACCTACAATTAAAAAAATATTTTTAAAAGCTTCTAAAAATCTACATTTCACCATAAAAATATAACTAATGAATATATATATATACCAAATAATACAGCAACAATTTTGATAAAGACATAAGGCAACATAGAAACACTCTAATAAATAAAGAGGCTTATATATAGTGCCATCCAAGAGAGATCAAGAGAGGAATAAGGAAAGGCAGAGAAGACACAAGCCATATAGTCAATAAAATTTATCTTACAGAATTATATACTCTGAAAACAGAGAAATACACATTCTTCTTCAAGTGTTCATGAAACATTTGAAGAAACCAATCACATATTAATGAATACAAAGAAAACAAATTTCAAAAAGAAATGCACAAATGATTAAAAATATTAAATAATTATATAAGAAAAAGGGCTGTACACCTTGAATTTTTTTTAAATTCAAAAATAAGGACCAATGTAATGTTATGCTATATAATTTGTACATCATCCTATTAATTAAAACTTAAATTTTTTTATTAAACAACTCTTTTAAAAAAAGGAGAATACAAACAGAATTACAGGGTTTTTCAAAACTAATCACACACAAAAAATTCAAATTAGAAACCATGGAATACATTTAAAGTACAATTAGAGAAACTTTATAACCTTAAACCCCTATCAGTAAAAGTAACATAACAAAAATAGATGAATTATATTCCCAACTAAAGAGATTTCGAAAAGTGTAAACCAAAATAAAGTTTGAGGAATAAAATAGTAAAGATCTTGTTGTAGTTATATCATTCTTTCTAGTACTCTGCAATTACAAAGAGCACAAGAGTGAACAATGTGTGTGTGTGTGTGTGTGTGTGTGTACACTGTTAGAGGTACATTGAGAACCAGACAGAAAGACTTCTGAATAGAAAATCAGCTAACTAAATTTGAACAATGTTCTAAAACTTTCATTAAAAGCAATATACATAGGAAAATGATAGATTTTATGGTAGCAGGATTATTTCAAGTAGATAAGCTGTAATCTTTCTGATGTGAAAATAAAGTATACTGTACAGAAAACCACACATGATCATTATCAGAACCTTATTTCTGAATAAAGTTCAGATGAACAACAGTTTCTGATGGGTTTAAGAGAACTTCTACAGAAAACTTCACATCTAAATCAATTCATTTCCTTTCACCACAGAGCACTTTCATGCACTATAATAAGAAAAGGTAAGTTTGTAATCCTTGTTAGTAAAAGATTAATCATGGCATTGTTGAGAAGACCGATAAGACATTTAACAGGAAGCACATGGTTTTCACTGGCAGGGTGGGGTCAAGCAGCTTACAGTAAGCATTTCAGAAACCAACAACCTGACATCGAGATGATTCATGGTTATGCTCTGGATCTGTGCTGAGGGGTACTGATTTTTCACACTTTTATTTATGAATATAAAAAGATGATTAAAACAATCTCAATATATTCTTGTTGCTTGTCTGATTTCTGAAATGTCAGTGTAGATTCTCATGAATAGAAAAGGAAGAAAATGGCCTATTATAGAGGCAAAAATAGATCACTGTCATGAATACTGAGTTTTGATATTTATTGCTGATAATCGTGTGCCACCTGACAGTGAATGTGAAAAAAAATTCTAAAACTTCATTCAGTAGACCAATGTAATACTATGCTATAGGTTTTGTGCGTAATCCTACTTAATCCTCATAACCACCCTATGAGTTAGGTGGTATTTTAGAGGACATGGAGACTTGAAAAGGCAAGAACTTCTTCCATGTTGTGCAGTTAATAGCAAAGCTGGGATTTGGTACTGGATTTGACTCTATATCTCATGAATTCATAAAACCAGTACTTGTTTTTATAAAAAAAAATTTATTTTTTAGTTGTAGTTGGACACAATACCTTTATTTTATTTATTTATTTTTTATGTGGTGCTACGGATCAAACCCAGATCCTGGCACGTGCTAGGTGAGCACTCTACCGCTAAGCCATAACCCCAGCCCCAAACTAGTACTTCTAAATGAACTTTTAAAATACATTTATTCAACCTAAATGTTTTTCAAAATTAAAACAGGATAAGTTCCAGAAGAATGCGTTTATGAATTACATTTTCTATAAAGCTTCATGGCTTATCCCTATCTCTGCTAACATTTATTATTGGCTGTTTACCATGACATTCAACACGCTCATTTATTCCTCACAACAACCCCATGAGGTAAATAATAGTATAATTTACATTTTATAGATGAAGGAATGAAAACTTAAAGAACAAAAGTGCTCTGCTAACTTCACACAACAAGGATTCAAACTCAAATCTTCTGATTCCAAAATTTTAAGCAAAAATGTTATGTGCCTCTACTTAAAGCAAAAAAAAAAAAAGTTAAATTTCGTTTTTAAGTGATAATTACTGAATTCCTTACTGAGTAAGTTTCTAAGTAAGTTAGACAACTTCTGAGAAATAGCTGGTATTTGATACATAATAGGAAGAGTAATACTTTCTCATTCATTCTACAAATATTTACTCAACACCTACTAGGTGATCCAGGTACTGTTCTAGGTCAGTGGCTTCTGAAGCAAAGTTCTTGCTTTATGAGTCTATATTTGTTTCCTGAAAGTTTATAGGTCATAAACGTGCCAAGGATAGGCAAATCTGACATTTAGACAACACTATCTCCACTAGACATTATTAGATAATATTATCCTCCACTGTATTTTAGACAGTTCATTGATATGCATGCCTTTGGTCCCAAGAGGGACTGATGGAATGAATCCATTCAAGTCATTCTCCAGGACTGAGAACCACCATAAACTATTCAACTTCCATGGCGCACTTAGGAGCTGCACATTAACTGTAAAACATGAAGAATAAGGGGAAAAATTTAAGTGTAGTCCTAAAGAAAGGTCACTGATGCAAAAAGAACTGAAAAAGATTCCTGTTAATTAGTTTGCTATTACATCCCTTGTAAGCTAACACTGAACTTCTCAGGTATAATTAGAGGATCCTTACTCTATATGCATCCATGGCACTTTGTAGTAGCAAATAATCTGATTATCAACATGCCTGTGTGCATCTTTAGGGAAGTACTAAGTACTCAAGAAAGCTGAATGAATGGGCTTTCTTGCTGTAAAATAAGACTCTAGCTCTAGACATTTTAAAATAAGCTCTCTAGCTCTTTAGTTTTCATGCTATGAAGAAATCTGTAAAGTACAAAATAAATTAAAGGAAAAGGCCAGAAAAATTAAACATGCTTCTTACCTTTAAAGACAGAGATCTAGCTAGAAGAAAGTGGTCCACATCAATAACAGAGGCTAAAAATCCAGCCAAAATGATTTCTCCAAAGTCAGTCTTCTTCTTGATTCCAATGACTATTGCCCATGACCACATGCCAATCACACAATGTACTGCATTATCTGAGAGGGCACGAAGCCAGTCATTTTGTTGGATTATGGAAAATTGAAGAAGTTTGTCAGCTACTAAGCAAAATATCCCCAGACCAAGGCTAGAAATAAGAGACTCAGTGCTACAAGACTGCAATAAAGCATGAGTCTTCTCAGTCTCAGATGCCATCATAAACAATATGTTAATATATACTAAAAGCCATTAGGAACAAACAGTATATTCTTGTTTTCATTTCTAGTACCCTAAAATAAAAAGCAGAGACAAATATTAATGAAGACTACAGACTGTCATATAATATTTAAACAGAATATCAGCATAACTTCACAAATGTAAAAACCAAGTTGTAAAAACTAGCATTTCTTACATGTTGTATACAACATGTCATGTGGCCCAAGTATAATAGATTAGTTTCACAGGAACAACAGTTTATTTTTTATTTATTTTAAAATATTTTGTTTATTTGTAAATGGACACAATATCTTTATTCTGTTTATTTATTTTTATGTGGTACTGAGGATTGAACCCAGGGCCTCACACATGCTAGGTGAGTGCTCTACCACTGAGCCCCAGCCCCAGCCCCAGCCCTGGGAACAATAGTTTAAGTGGTAGTATATAACAAGGAGAATTTCACAAAGCCCACTGACTGTAATCTATTACCTTGGAGTCATCAAATAGTTCTGTTTCTGAGAATGTTATGACATCTTGGACATGCACTGTGTCTGAGTACCTAATAACTACTTCCCATACTTCTTTTGACAACAGAGTCCCCTCCCTTTGGGAAAACTGTGTATCATTACACCTAAATTCCAGAGTTTATCAATTGAGTTCCTTATCTCCTTTAAAAGAGTGACAATGTAAAGATGAGGGTTACCCAAGCTGGGCCTATCAGACTTCACTTCAGAATTTTCCTAAGTAAAGCTGGTGGGGAAAATTCCTCTTCTTGGAGGCCACAGACTCCAATACATGAAACAGCACAGGAAAATAAAATCCAGAAGAAACAAAAAGACAAAAAGCTAAGGGAATTATGAGAACATCAAGTCCTTAGGTCCAATTGCAGGTTTCTCAGAACTTCCCTAGTTCTTGCAGCTTACCATTCTATTAATAATAATAATAATAATAATAGTCATTGTTGTTATTATTATTTGGAGGTACTAGGGATTGAATCCAGGGACATTCTGCTACTGAACTATATCCCCAGCCCTTTTTATTTTTTGAGACAGGATCTCACCAAGTTGCCCAGACTGGTCTCTAACTTGTGATCATCCTGCCTCAGCCTCTGAGTAGCTAGTATTACAGGTATAAATCACCCAGAACTCTCAAACACTGATAGTGGGGGAAAAAATGGTACCATCACCTTGAAAAATTTTTTCCAAACTCTCAAAAAATGACACATTTCTACCATATGGCCCAGTCGTTCCACATCTAGGCATTCTCTCAAGGGAAATGAAAGACTTATAAATGAATGTTCATAACAATCTTATCTGCATTAGTTCCAAACTAGAAACAACACAAATGTTCATCAACAAGTAAACAACTTAATGAAATATGGAATAAAAAGAAATGTGATATACATAAAACAGAATTGAATCTCAAAATAATTATAGTAAGTGAAAGAAGCCAAAACAAAATTATGTAGTTAAACCCCACAAAACGATATAACCTAAAGGATGAACCCTAAAGAAAATTAAGGACTTTAGTCAGTAATAATGTACCAATGTTGGTCCTTTAGTTATAACAAATGTACCAAAATGTGTACAGTAGAAAAGGGAGTATATTGGAACTTTCTGCAATGTCTGCTTAATTTTTTCTGTCAATTAAAAGCTGCTATTTAGGTTTATAAAGTCCTAGTAATTTAAAAATAAGTCATTAATTTTAAAATATATTAATTTATGAATTTTAAAATCTATTAATTTAAAAAAATAAATGAAGCAAACATTATAATTGTTAAATCTAGGGAATGGGTGTAGTGTAGTTCATTATTCTGCTACTGTTCTCTACTTTTCTGTATGTTTAAAATTTTCATTTAGAAATATGTTTTTAAAAGAGCACATAGTATGATTCCATTTACATAAAATTCTACAAAATGTGAGCTGATTCATAGTGACAAATGCAGGTTAGTTGTTTCCTGGGGACATGAATACAAGGATTAAAAAGAAGCAAAAGGAAACTTTGGGAGAGACGTGTACACTCATCTTGATTGGGGTGAAGTTTCTGGGCTCATATTTTAATGCATATGTCAAAATGTTTCAAATTGTATATTTTAAATATATAGAATTAGGCTGGGGATGTGGCTCAGTGGTAAAGCGCTTTGCCTAGCATGTGTGAGGCATTGGGTTTGATTCTCAACACCACATATAAATTAAATAAACAAATAAAGAGAGAGAGAGAGATTAAATGTCCATAGTATACCATTTTAAACACATAAATAAATAAATAGTTAATTGCATATCAGCTAGCTATATGCCAACAAAATATATTGATAATGAAAAACTGCAGGTTTTCATGAAAAAGGAACAATCTGAAAATAAGAAATTATGAAAAATGAAAAACCTGACCAATTAAAAAGTCAACAGGAGCAATGAATAGGAGAACGAATGTTTCAAAAAAAAAACCAGAACAAGTTAATAAGAACACATTCATATAATTTTTCCAAAGTATAGGGAGAAAATAAAAAGACAAAGATTTGAGTAATGAAAGAAAAAAAAAAACCCTCAGAAATTCTGTCAAAACAAAAAAGCCACCTGCAAAACAAACAAACAGAATGTGATCATTATCATCCCTAAGTGCCAGTATATTATGGAGAAACATTTATAGAGCTCTGAGAGAAAAGGATCATGACTGTAGGACTGTTACTTTTGTGACAATCATGAATTTTAAGAGTTTTACCTTAGAATTTATAACACCTGTGTATGATTTTAGGGGACGACGGGGTTGAAGAATAGATGTTCTGAATCTCTGTGCAAGAGAAATAAAGAAAACTTGATCAATACAAAATGAAAAGAAAAAAAAGAAAAGAAAACTTTACTCCTTTTCCAGCTCCCTCCAAAAGCAATAGGAACCAAAGATATCAACTATAAATACTAGGACAAATGTTAATTTGTTAAATTTCTCTATAAAGAGGCAAACATAATTAGACTAGAACAAAAGGAAACAGCCACTGTTACTAGTCATAAGAGAAAACCTCAAATGAAAAATCTTAATAATATTTACATATAGAAATGAGAAAAAACATGTCTGAAAAAACAAAACAAAATAAAGCAACAGTGGTAATATTAATATCAAACATAATTCAAGGCAAAAATGATTAAGTAGAACTAAAAAGGATAAAAAATTCACATCATAGTAACATACAAAATTACATAAGTTATATATAAGGTCAGAGGATGTTTACCTATCAATAAAGCAGTAAAACATAAATTTAATCAAGCAGTCAAAAAAAGGTACAACTGTGGGGCATGGTAGAGCATACCTATAATCCCAGAGGCCCAGTAGGCTAAGGTAGGAGGATCCCAAGTTCAAAGTCAGCCTCAGCAACTTGGTGAGACCCTGTCTCAATACCAAAAATAATAAGAGCTGGGGATTTAGCTCAGTGATTAAGCACCGCTGGGTTTAATCCTTAGAGAGAGAGAGAGAGAGAGAGAGAGAGAGAGAGGGAGGGAGAGGGAGGGAGGGAGGGAGGGAGAGAGAGAGAGAGAGAGAGAGAGAGAGAGAGAGAGAGAGAATGCAGTAGCCTAATTAGCTCAAAAAATGTAAATATAAACAGTGTACAAGTAATACCTTTGGACTCAAAAGACTTGTCTTTCAAGTGTTTATGCTATAAAATTATTTCCGAAAAGAAAAGAGAGAATAAGGACTCTGTCTACTTTGTTTACCTCCATATCCTCAGCCTATACTAGGTGCTAAATATTTGTTGAATCAACAAAAGAAAAATCATCATATACTGTACCTGTAATGTACAAGGTATTATATATGGTTACTTGAAAGGCATTCAGTAAAAATTTAACATCCATTCCTTGGAATTTGCATTTTAAGCAAGTATATATTCTAGATAATTTCTATGTTCACTAAACATTGAGAACTGCTGGTTTACCAAAAATGTTAAGACCACTTAGTTTAGAAACCAAAATGATGAAAAACTAGAAATATTACCTTAAAAGTTAAAAACAGCATAGCTGTTATAACACTGTTCTGGCAACTTTAATCAAGGCAATGGGGGTATAAGAAAAAAAAAAAAACATTATTACATTATCAGAAAAAAAGATAACTACATTAGTTTGCAGGTGAAATGACTGCCTTCCAGGAGGACCAATTGAAAACTGTTGGAATATAAGTTGAAAAAACATGGAAAATTCAAGATAAATACTAAAATGATTTTCAATAGGCCAGAAATAATCATAAGAAAAAATGGGAACATAAATATTTACAATAAAAACAAGTCCAAACATCAAGGAAGAAACTAAACAGGAAATGTATATGAAGAAAACTACCCAACTTTACTAAAGGATGAAAAACAGCAATTTTCTTGCAGAGGCAGCTGGCAGCACAAGTCTTCCCAAAAGGAAGAAATCTTCGTCCAAGGAGGAAACAGGTAGTGATCCAAAAGAGGCAGGCAGCAGGAGTATCTCCAAGAAAAGGCGGAAATTCTCTTCTTAGGAGGAGTGGGTCAGCAGTGGGCCTGAAGAGGCTGCTGGTGGCAAGAGCAGTGCCAATAAAAAGAAAAAAAGTTCCAAAAACCGTCTCAGGATGATTAGAATGAGCATTCCTGGTACAGAAAGGTCAAACCCCATAGTGACATTTCCCAAACCAATAAAAACCAATTCACACATAAATACAAAAATCAATTGACTAGAGTTCTGGTGGCTTTGTATTATGTCAATTCAGATGAACTGGACTTATATTTCCCTTCCTTGTATAGTTCTGGGTAGTAAGGGCCACAGGAGACACTATGCCTGACACCTGAAAGGAGTAGTCATATTTTTTAGTTTGAAGGTTGGTGCAGGTCGCACTGTGGAATATGAACATCTTGTTGCTGATCTGAGCTCACTTGTTGGCGTGGGGAAGCAGCTGGAACTGCAGTTCCTTCAGCTCCCATCCGATCTTCTTTTTTAGGGTCTCCAAAACCTGGGCCTACACAGCTCCAAGGTCAAAGTGTCAGCCTTTCCTGCAGATCCCCCACAGCATTAAAACTGGAGTTGGTGCATGTGGCAAAAATTTGCTCCCAAAACGTAGGCTCTCTCTTCACCTCCTTGTTTCTTTTGCTGAGAAGCAGCTTTTTAGTAAATCCATCCCATTTATTAGTTCTTGATTTTATTTCTTGCACTTTAGGAGTCTTGTTAAGAAAGTTGGGGCCTAATCTGATGTGATGAAGATTTGGGCCTACTCTTTCCTCTATTAGGCACAGGGTCTCTGGTGTAATTCCTAGGTCCTTGATCCACTTTGAGTTTATTTTGTGCATGGTCAGAGATAGGGGTTTAGTTTCATTTTGCTACATATGGATTTCCAGTTCTCCCAGCACCATTTGTTGAAGAGGCTATCTTTCTCCTATGTATGTTTTTAGCACCTCTGTCTAGTATGAGATAACTGTATTTATGTGGGTTTGTCTCTGTGTCTTATATTCTGTACGATTGGTTTACATGTCTATTTTGGTGCCAATACCATGCCGTTTTTGTTACTATAGCTTTGTAGTTAGAGCACTAATCTCCAGGATATATAAAGAACTCAACAAACCTAAACACCAAAAAACAAACAATCCAATCAATAAATGGGCTAAGGAGCTGAACAGACACTTCTCAGAAGAAGATATATAATCAATCAACAAACGTATGAAAAATGTTCAAAATCTCTAGTAATTAGAGAAATGCAAATTAAAACTACTCTAAGATTTCATCTCACGCCAGTCAGAATGGCAGCTATTATGAATACAAACAACAATAAGTGTTGGTGAGGATGTGGGGAAAAAGGTACACTCATACATTGCTGGTGGGACTGCAAATTGGTGCAACCAATCTGGAAAGCACTATGGAGATTCTTTATAAACTTGCAATAGAACCACATTTGACTCAGCTATCCCACTCCTGGATCTATACCCAAAGGACTTAAAATCAGCATACTATAGTGATGCAGTCACATCAATGTTTATAGCAGCTCAATTCATAATAGCAAAACTGTGGAACCAACCTAGATGCCCTTCAACAGACGAATGGGTAAAGAAACTGTGGCATATAAACACAATGGAATATTACTCAGCATTAAAGGAGAATAAAATTACGACATCTGCAGGTAAATGGATGGAGTTGGAGAATATCATGCTAAGCGAAGTAAGCCAATTCCAAAAAACCAAAGGCTGAATGTTCTCTCTGATAAATGGATACTGATCCATAATGTGGGGGGGATTGGGGAAAATGGAGGAACTTTGATTGAGCAAAGGGGAGGGATTGGGACATGGGGGCAGGAAAGATGGTGGAATGAGATGGACATCATTACCCTAGGTACATGTAGGACTGCAAATTATGGTGCAACGCTATACTGCATACAACCAAAGAAATGAAAAGTTGTGCTGCAATTGTATACAATGAATCAAAATGTATTCTGCTGTCATATATATCTAATTAAAATTAATTAATTAATTATAAATAAAATAAATGACTCTTAAAAAAAAAAAAAAAAACCCTGAAGTTGGTGAGAGGCTGATGCAGGCTACATTTTGTCCCATGGATTTCATGTAAGAAAAATAAGTATCTAAATAATACCATGGGCTATGTATATAAACAGGCAATTTAGAAAAATAAGAAATACAAATGGTCAAAAAGTAAAAAAAAATATCAAAATATTTCACCTTCATCTTAATGTGATTCAACATAAAATCTGTCAACATAAAATTGACAAAAGATTACTAATACTCTTGTTTTGGTAGTAGTGGAGGAAATGATCACTCTCACAGATTACTAGCAAGAATATATATTCGGGGTTGTGGCTCAGTGGTGAAGCAATTGCCTCACACGTGTGAGGCCCTGGGTTCGATCCTCAGCACCACATATAGATAAACGAATAAAATAAAGGTATTGTGTCCATCTACAACTAAAAAATTATTTTTAAAAAATCCCTTCTAGTAGATGATTTGATTACATATCAAAAACCACTAAAAACGAGCAAACACTTTTGACTTAGCATTTCCAATTCTAGGTCTTTGTCATAAAAAAAATTAGATTAATGCAAAGAGCTATACAAAGAAGTTAAACATAGTATTGTTTGCAGGAAAAGTTAAAAACAATATACATTTCCAAAATACATAACTTCTGAATAAATTCCACATATTAAAGCTATTAAAAAAATACTTATTCCTTTAGTGCTGGGGTTATGACTCAGCAGTAGAGTGCTCGCCTTGCACATGTGAGGCCCTGGGTTTAATCCTCAGCACCACATAAAAATAAATAAATTAAATAAAGGTATAAAAATTTTTAAAAATAATACTTATTCCCACCAGGCACAGTAGTGCACACTGGTAATCCCAGCAACTCAAAGACTAAGGCAAAAGGATGGCAAGTTTGAGGAAAGCCTCAGCAACTTAGCAAAACCCTGTCTCAAAATAAATAAAATAAAATGGGCTGGGGGTGTTGCTCGGTGGTAAAACATCCCTGAGTTCAATTCCCAGTGCAAAGAAAGAAAAAGATAAAAAGAAAGAACAAACCAACAACATCAAAAAAAAAACCCTTATGCCCATATTTGTGTACATAGAAAAATGGGTAATAGATATTACATTTTAAAAGACAGCCTATAAAATAGTAGATAAAATATTAGTTTTATTTTTTAATACATACATATTATATTAGCTTTTCAACATTACAACAAACTACCTGAGAAAATCAACTTAATAAAAAGAAAGTTTATTTTGGCTCATGGTTTCAGTCCACAGTCATTTGGCCCTGTTGCTTTTGGCCTGTGGCAGCAAAGGACACTGTGGTGGTAGTACACAGTGGAGGAGGCTTATTTACCTCCTGGTAGTCAGTAAGCAAAAAAAAAGAGGAGGAAGGGGCCAGGGTCCCAGTATCACCTTCAAACAAACTCCTCCCAATGACCTAACTTCCCTCTAATAGGTCCCATTTCCTAAAGGTTCTCACCATCTCTCAAAAGGCCCACAGGCTGGCAACCAAGCCTTTAATAGATGGTTTTTGGGAACACTCCTGATCCAAACTATAGCACTTAGATGTACTAAAATCAGGATGTTGTTCATTTGGTTTGTTTCTCAGTGATGGGATCACAAATATGATAATTTTTTCCTTTTTTTATTTTCTAAAAATTTTCAATGTCTTACTATTATAGCCATAAAACTAGTAAAGCTATTTTAAAAACTTAAAGCCAGAAAGTCAGCCTCTTAAAAGTATAATAAAAAATTGAAATATATTTATGACATTGTAAGTATGTACTAACAAAAAGAGTAAAATATATAATATTAGTCATAATAATAAAACTATGTACAGAGCTGGAGTTGTAGCTCAGTGGTAGAGCACCTGCCTAGCATGTGTGAAGCACTGGTTCGATATAAATAAATGAAATAAAGTTCCATCATAAACTAAAAAAAACAAAAAACTATGTACAATCTCATAAGTTAAAAATTTGGTGGAGGTGGGGACTGGGAATTGAACTTAGGGGGCACTCGACTACTGACCCATATCTTTAGGCCTATTTTGTATTTGACTTAAAGACAGGGTCTCACTGAGTTGTTCAGTGCCTCATTGTTGCTGAGGCTGGCTTTGAACCCACAATCCTCCTGCCTCAGCCTCTCGAACTGCTGGGATTATAGGCATGTACCACTGAACCCGGCTTCGTACAATATAAAAAACTTGTTCATTGTTGAATATTAGTTGATACATAAAAAATCTGCACTGCTGGGAGCAGTGGCCCATACCTGCAATCCAGTGGCTCACGAGGCTGAGGCAGGAAGATTACAAGTTCAAAGTCAGCCTCAGCAACTTAAGAAGGCCCTAAGCAACTCAGCAAGACCCTATCCTTAAATCAAATACAAAAAAGAACTAGGGATGTGGTTCAGTGGTTAAGCATCCCTGGGTTCAATACCCAGTACCCCCCACCAAAAAAAAAAAAAAGTCTGTACTAAGACTTCTATATCTTTGCATGAAATAAACTTAGGTTCCTTATGCAGAGAAAAACTATTTTATTAATGATAATGGAGCCTACAACAATCCTTAAATTCTTAGTTATTTACAACAATAAAAAAATATTTTCTAAAGCACTAAAATTGGGTTATATTTTATAGATTCTTCTGGTACTTTCAACTAAAACATATGAACAAAATGTAAAAGGTACTTCCATTAAAAGATTGCGAATCCCTTCTATAAACCTCAGGATGTATAATGCCCAAAATTATGATTGTTAATCATTGTATCTACTTTAGAAAATAAAGAAACATTTGACCCTTCAATGGATAAAGAAGTTAATGTGTTTAAAGATTTAAAGCATATAAAATTTATAAAAATATCCCCTTGAACCAAAGATAAATGCTATTGTTCACTTAGCTGGATGGGAACTGAGACACAGAAAGTTTGAATTAATGGCCAAGCCAGAGAGTCACAGCAGCTGCAGGAATAATACCTCTTTCAAGAACCTGTAGTCTCACCCCAGAAGGCAGACAAAAATAAAAGGTTAATATCTACTTAACTGAAAATTCATTATGTCTCTATAATCCACTGTATTGCATCTTCTTTCACTCATGAAACTATTTTTTTACGAGCACAATATTTAACTATTACCCTGGATTTTTCATTAGTTCAGATTTTAAAAGGAATGGACAGCTAACAATAGTCACAAGTAAAAATCAATTACTTCATATATTTAAAAGATGCAAATTTAAAGTGATGGTAAATAGGAAAACTTACTGATTACAAATAACTATGTCAAAATTTATGACTAGGACTATATACACATAATAGGGCAGTAAAAATGTGTTTTATAACTGGAAAGTATAAAATAGATTGCTTGATGATAGGGGGATAAGAAGCTCCTGAGTGACCTTGGAAGCAGATCCCTCAGCCTGTCAAGCCCTCAGAGGCTTACAGTCCCCACCACCAATAAGAGGACAACTTCAGGAGACCCAACAGTCTTTCTAAGTCCTGATTCATAGAAAGAATGAGATGAAATACAGGTCCCTAGAACAGTCTGTTTTTAAGATAGACCTGTTCCAGGAACACACATTTCTGGCAACTATTCCACTCCACTATTGGTGCATATATTTAACATCTCTGGCTTAGATTCTAAATATGAGAAAGCTGAATGTAATTATTATAATTCCTCTATTTATTGTTTCTGGTTAGAACATTGCTACAGTCTATAAAGGGTTGAACGTTCCCCAAAGGCTGATGTATTGGGAGGTGGTTCCCAAGGTGAGGATATTAGGAGGTGGTTGGATCTTTAAGAGATGGGAACCTCATGGGGATCCTTAGGTGTCTGCAGGCCCAGCTCTTGAAAGGGATTAAAGTAGTTCTTGTAGAATCTTTGGTAGTTTCCCTGAAAGGGTTGTTTAAAAAAACCTCAGCTGGCCCTACCCCAGCTCTCTGGCTTCCTATATCCTGATTGCTAGCTCCTGCTCGGTGCTGCATCTGCCAGGAATGGATGCAGCCAAGAGGCCTCTCACCAGAACTGAGTAGTTAACAGACACCAAATTCTTGAACCTCTGAAACTGTAAGTAAAATAAATCTCTTTTCTTCCTAAAGTTAGCTACCTGAAGGATTTTGTTACAGCAAAGAAAAATAAACTAATATAGAACCTAAGTGTGCTCATTTTTCTTAATCCCTTTTCTTTCATTTCCACTTCCTATTCATCCCACTACAAATAAAATGAACCCCTGAACTTCCTAAACTTCGAAGCTTTATGTTTATTTTACTCCTTCACTTTTGCTGGGAATGTTCCTGAAGAGCAACAATTATAATTTTCTTTTAAACTTGTCATGCATAAAATCTGATGTGCTTAAGTTGTTGAACAAATGTTTCATTATGATAATACAAGAGGTGAACACATAAGCAATCTTTAGGTTGTGAGTATTCCTTCCAGATTTCTGCAACAGGGTGTGAATGTGGTGCTGGGGAATTGAACCCAGGGGCTTATGCCTACCAGGTAAGCGCTCTACCATTGAGCTACATCCCCAATTAATCCTCTGCCTACAAAGATATTTAGATTGACCTCTTTACCACAATAGCCAGACACCCATACCATAAATTCTTCTCTGTAACTTGCAGAAGACACTTTCTCCAGTGGCCCAACAACAGTCCCATTACAGCAAATGCCATTAACTACTGGGCATTCAAAGGACAGAATAGTAACCCCCCCCCTTAACTCTACAAACACATAATTAGTTGGTCTCTTGAAGTATATGCTATCGTGTTTTGTTTGCTACTCATCTCTTAAACATTATTTCTGCCCCAAAAAAATAAGAAAAAATTTCAAAGTAAATCTCATCTTCTGATTCAATCTTCCTGAGTCCCACCAATATCATAAATTTACAAAAGGTAAAAGTAGTCAAATATCCAAAAAACTTCCTTTATCACGCTTTACAAATAAGTCCTCTTCACTAACCTGCAGTTGCTGTGAAACTTCATTTCTTTAATGCTAAAACACCAAAAGCAGGTGCCAAATCTAATGCACATAATTGGTAAAGGGAGAAAGCAGAAATCTTGCTCACATTTACTGAAACTTTATAGCCATGAGATCTCGGCACATAAAATTTTTAGTTTCTATGATCGCTACAAATAAAACTTACAGTTCTTAATTTCAACATGTTCAGCAAATTCCCAGTCATGTTTTTCTGAGGTTGGTGTGATGCAATGATTTTTAGAATGTCAATTTAAAAAATGGGATAGGAAGTCCTGGGGTCTCTTGGAAGGAACCATATCAAACATCACTGAACCCAGGGCTCGAAGGTCTCTTCTACCTGTTAAGGAAGGTGGTGGGCTCCTTCTGCAAGACTCCCGCACCCTGCCCAGGGCCAGGCCAACGCCAAGGGCGCAGAGTCCTGGAAAAGTTGGGTGTCTACGGGATCCAGAGGGTGCCGAAGCGCAGACCACTGGGCCACCAGACAGCGCCGGTCCGTGGTCAGGCAAACCCGGAGTGCCTGCCCTCCCCGCTCCTTCAACCAGGACCTGCCAGGTTTCAGCGTCGGACGGGCCCAGCCTCTGGCTTCCCTCACTGCGCAGTTTCGCGTCCATTCCGTCCCCTCCCGTCCGACCAGTAGCAGCAGCTATACCCACCCTCAGTTCTCGCAGCTGCAGCGCGCAGCGGCCCCACCCCTGGGTCGGCACCATTGAGACGCCGGTTGCCGGCCAGAGCAGCCCTAGCTTCAACGTCCGCCCAGAGGACGCCGGGAAACCGGCCCTTTTCGGAGCGGTGAGGAAGCGATACTACGGTGCACGATGGTTAAGCCTGTGGGTGCCTTGAATAAACCACCAACCTCCCTAAAAGACACCTTTGGACGACAGGGTAGGAGGTGGAAAGTGCGTTCTTGGTTTCCTTCTGTCAAACCTCAGGATTCGTTTCTCCGCTTAAGTGGTCTTAACCGCTAACCTCCCCACGACGCACCCAAATGGAGGCTGGGAAGATGGGGACCGAGAAGTGGCTTCACCTAATGTGGGACGCGCAGTCGGTTGTGGGTCTCGAAGGTGTGGAGATACTTCCAGCTTCTTTCATTGGTCCTTCTGGGTTGTGGAGTTTTTCAAGAGGCGGAGGGATCCCAAGGCTGCTCAGACCTGACGTCCCTCAGTAGCGCTTTACCGCCGCCTTGGGGTTTTGTCGATAAATCTTTGCTACTATGCTAGTGGATGTTGGAAGCTAGACTTTTGGACAGTGACGTAGCTAGAACACTTAAGCATGACTACTAAAATGTTTAGAAAAAAAAAAACTGCAAACAGGGCTGCTTGAAACTAACTGGATTCACCAGTTTGTTTGCAGGGACTGCGACCAGATGCTTCCCATCTCCCTGCTTCGCAGTTTTGGGTATTGCCTTCATCACGGAAATATCTACCTTAGAAAAAGGACCAGCCCCAAAGAAAACGCCTCTTACAGAGGGATATTTTTTCAACTTTCTTATCGTTTCTCAAAACAAGTGTCAAATGGAAAGGAAGGGCAGCAGTGGAATAAATAACAGATGAAGGAATGTTTAATCTCAAGCAAATTCCTAGGCTGTCCACAGAATCTCAGTTTCTCAACCACAGAACTTTTCATTGTTTGTCAGTGTCTACAATTTGAGTGCTTTTAGCCATGTTAAGGGCACACTTTCTGTCTGAATACAGTTGTTTCATAATAGTCTTGGGTTTCTGGAGCTGAGGGACAACATAGATGACCTCCTGTGAACCAAAGCAGAACAAATTGTTGGTTTTCTGTCTCTCTCTAGTCAATTTACTACCTAAAGACACTGATCCATTTACACAACATATACTGAGTGCTGTGTGTGCCACGCCCTATGGTAACAAGGCTACAAAATTACTTTATGGAGGATATTCTAGTAGTGGATATTGGCCATAATGAAGCAAACAAGCTGGGCAGATTGTGGTAGGCACTTACAGGAAGTAAACAGGGTGGATATTAGAGTTGAGAAAAGATAACCTGTCAAGTAGTTAGGGAGGCTTCTTAGAAGAAATATTTTTGCTAATACCTAAAATGTGAAGAAGCCCAGAGTGAGGAGCTAAAAAGAGAACCTGTGTCCCTTCAACTCATTGACATGATCACTACAAATCTAGTAATACTTTTTTCTTCATTGTTTTCCTTTGTTGCTTTATCTTAACTTTAGATGTGAGGAGTCTGATTATTTATTTTTGTGGTGCTATTATTTTATTTTTGAATTGAACTCAGGGCCTTGTGCATGCGATGCAAGCATTTTACCAACTGAGCTATATTCCCAGCCCCAGCCTGATCTTTTTAAATAGAAAATTAGAACATTTCTGGTTGTCTGGTAGTATAATCTTACATTCTTTTTAGATGTTTGAGTTTTTGTTCTTTCCATAGGCAAGGCTACAATAAGCACTTTTGGTGAGGACATTTCTGTTAATTCCACACATTTTGCAGCATAAATCTTTCTGTATGTTCAAAAGAAATGAAATCCAATTCATGAGACAGTTTAAATAAAACAGTCTTGGCTGAAGTACTTGATCCTTAGCTTGCAATATTGCCTAGGCTTACTTGTTTGTTGTTTTGTTTTGTTTAGATTTAGTTATCTTTTAATAGTTCTTTTGGAGTAGAAACTAAATAGCAGTTACTGGATACAAAAAATAGTGAATATGACACAAGATTAAAAACAGCAAAAAATTCACAATTTTACAAAAGTTTCATAAATCTGACATTAAATGAAAGTTCAAAATAGTTCTTTATTAATAAAATTTATTGTATATTTAAAAATTTTGCAAGTTAGGTAAAATACAACCAAAGTTAATTGTCAATTCTCATAGTCATGTAGAAGTAATACATGCAATTTCTTGGCTTACTAATAATTTTGTACCAGTCATTTGAAACAACATCCTCAAGATTTAATAATAATTCCATTTTTCACTTTTTAGAGTTTGATAAAAGACAATCAATATCCTGAAGAATTTTGGAAGTTTTTTCCAATGCTACTGATACTTTCTTTTCATTAAATTCTTCTAGCAAGGTTTCTGAAGATCTTGGTTTATAATAATCAGAAGACTGTTCATTTTTCTTGTTAGAAATCTGGTTTAGGATACCACTATTCTCCAGTAGCACTGAGTTACTTAATTAAGGAGCTTTTTCCCACATTTTAAAAATTACATAAATATTTTCTTTTTAGAAAGCCTGGCTTTCATATCAAAATATTATTTCTCAATAAGATTACTTGGATTCATAATAAAGTAGGGACTTCAGAAATTAGAACTACCCCTTATACATGATGAAACACATTATAAAGGAGGGGGAATATTTACATGTGTGTTTGTATTGAGGCTTGGTGATAAGGAGGAAATGAATGAAAATCAGTAACATTTCATGTTCTTAAGTGTTATAAAAATGGAACAAGAATAGCAATGACAGGATTATAAGCAATCTGTGTAGTGTCTTTTATTTTCTAAGTAAAAGAAATCTAAAGTAAAAAAAGCCTTTCCTCTGTTCCAGAACTACTTTATTATTTCAGTAACATTCAAAAACCACGAGAGAAAACAAGTTTAAATAAGTGGGGTGAGAATGTACAGAATGAAAGGTTTCATAAAAGAAGTCAGAAGTAGGTACTTAATAATTTTAGTAATTTAGAATAATATAAGTGATAAAGTCCCCAAAGAACACCTTTACCCTAGTTCACTGTTCCTTGTTCAATTTAAATCCAAAGAAAAGTGTTAACATGATGTACCTTCCATAAATAAAAAAACATCTTAAATATTTGCTGACTCAATAAAGCTCTACAATATATAAAGTATGGATTAATATTTCACAAATTATATCCATGAATTAAGCCTAGAATTGAAGGGGATTAATTCTGCAGTACAGTACATTCTTTTTTGGGGGTGGGGGTGGATATCGGGGATTAACTCGGGGGCACTTGGCCACTGAGCCATATCCCAGCCCTATTTTGTATTTTATTTAGAGACAGGGTCTCACTGAGTTGCTTAGCACCTGGCTTTTGTTGGGGCTGGCTTTGAACTCAAGATTCTCTTGCCTCAGCCTCCCAAACAGCTGGGATTACAGGCATGCACCACCATGCCCAGCAGGACAGTACATTCTTTTTAAAGGATACAGTTAAACTTCTGTATCTTTTCAAGTTCAGAAGCAACAGACCTGTGCAAAAAAACAGAAAAAAAGTAAGTTCATGCTGATTTTTTTTTTTTTGGTACCAGGTATTGAACCCAGGAGCACTTAACCGCTGAGTCACATCCTAAGCCCCTCTTTTTGTTTTGAGACGGTCTAAGTTGCTTAGGGCCTTGCTAAATCACTGAGGCTAGCTTTGACCTTGCAATCCTCCTGTCTCAGTCTCCAGAGTCACTGGAATTATGCATGTACACCACCATACCTGGCATGCTGATTCTTTTTATTTATGAAATTTCAATAAGCATACTTGACTTTTTTTTCCAAAAAAGTTAAGAATTCTCTTTATATTAGCTTTACTTAGCAGCAAGTTGACTTAGCTAATATTTACTGAATGCTTTTAAAGGACAATGAATAAGTCTCCAAAGATTTTGTAATCAAGTACAGATATTTTAAGGTTACAGGTTTTCCTACTAATTCTTCGTACTAACCCGGAATACCTTCTACTCTTTCTCTCTAAAGTATACCTGAACTTTAATAACCTATTAAATCCCATCTCTTCTAGGAAAGATGTGACCTCTCACTGAATTTTTACAGCATTTATGTTAATCATATACTTAATTGTAATGTCTTCTCTTGAATATTTAACTTTTTGATCTTCCTACCTAGATTGTCTCTCAGAAAAAAAAGATCTTTTAAAATTTTTCTGTACTTTTCATTGGTTTAATGATTAATTTTAGAAAGGCCTCATTTATAGAGAACTCTTAATTAAAATTAGATGGTTTGGGAGGTCCCAAGTTTTTACACAGTTAAATTAGACATTAAAACATAACTCTTTAAATTAAATTTCTTCTGGAATAGACTATTAACTTATTTCATTTAGCTCTTACCATGTATGAAAAATAAGACAATGAGTATGAGGTATAGGTTTGAATGTATAAAACTAGCAGAACCCCATACATGTGTGTTCTTTTACCTTATGAAGCTAGAATGATATGTGAGCAGTAGCACATAATTACAAATGATGTAAACTTGACTTTCTATAAAAAATTAGTGAGGACATTAGTCTAAAAACATGTTTTTATTCAAGTTACTTGAAAAGGGTATTTTAGCTGGGTGCAGCGGCACACACCTATAATCCCAGTTTTTTAGTCAGCTTTTTCGCTGCTGTGACCAAAAGACCTGATAAAAACAATTAGAGGAGTACAGTTTATTTGGGGGCTCATGGTTTCAGAGGTTTCAGTCCACAGATAGCCAGCTCCATTCCTCAGGACTGAGGTGAAGAAAACATCATGGCAGAAGGATGTGGTAGAGGAAAACAAGTCAGGATATGGCCACCAATAAGCAGAGACAGAGACTAAGCTCAGCTCTCAAAATATATACCCCAAAGGCACACTCCCAATGACCCACCTCCAGTCACACCCCACCTCCCTACAGTCACCACTCAATCCCTTGTCAGGGGATTAATGAATTGATTAGGTTAATATTCCCATAACCCAATCATTTTACCTCTAAACTTTCTTTCATTGATTCATACAGGAGCTTTTGCTGAACACCTAATTTAAACCATAACATCCAGCAACTTGGGAAGCTGCAGCAGGAGGATCACAAGTTTGAGGCCATCCTTAGCAACTTAGCAAGACCCTGTCTCAAAAAAAAAAAAAAAAAAACCAAGGGCTGGGGATGTGGCTCAGCAGTAAAGTATCTCTGGATTCCCAGTACTAAAAAAGGGAATGTGGCTTTATTGGCTTTACTACAATGGGTCATATGTACCTTCTTGCCAGCTTGCAATCTTTTCTTTTCCTTGTATACTAGTTTATGGATGTAAATGAGAGAGATCTTTGGTCATTTTAAGCATCTGTGGAAAAGAACTTGGATATAACTTACTCCAAAGCCTGCAGACTTATCATCATTGCAAATCACCTTTAGCATAATACAAAATTTTTTTCTGGCATAGGCAACCATAACAATCTTTAATTCTATTGCTCACATGATTAACTAACTTCTTATGAAATATATTCTGCACTCTTTTTTGACTAACATCCATATTAAAATGTCCAATTAATAAGCTAATAATGGTGAAGCAGAAAAAACTGAAATATGATTTAGGTAGCTGTTCATTATATAATCTCTTTTTCCTTCAGCCAACTCTGACAAGAAAACAAATCACAGTGGAAATGTCTTATCCTTTGCAAGGGGATAGAGCTACTCCTCAATTCCTTTATCTTATCTCTCTGCTGCTTCTTCCATCCTTCCACCCATAGCTTCCATAAACAATGTGCACTTTCACTTTATAGTATTTCTTGACAGCTATTCTTTTTTAGCTTTTATATAAGAAGTCTGCATTTTACAAATGCCAGCTATGGTGAAGTGATCACTTTTATAGCCATGGATAATTTCCCTTTCTTCTAAACTTTTTTAATATTTATTTTTTAGTTATAGTTGGACACAATACCTTTATTTTATTTATTTATTTTTATGTATTGCTGAGGATCAAACCCAGGACCTCACATGTGCTTGGCGAGCACTCTACCACTGAGCCACAACCCCAGCCCCTAAACTGTTTTTTATTAATTACTCAAGCAACTTTTCAGCATTAGCTGAAGGATGCATCTGGAAAGGTAAATCCTTACATACCTGAGATTTTCAAATAATACGTACTGATTTGATTTGATTTGTTCCAAAAAGTAACTTAGGTTCCTAAATTGTTTCTGGTATCCTTTTCCAGTATATTCAGATTATACTCTCACTGATATGAATCTGCTGAATGACTTCTTCCTGTCGTTTTCCAGTTTAGGAACTTGTATTTACTTCAAATTTGAACTCTATTTACAACAAGATCCATTGATCCATAAAAATCCATCCTATACCCTAGCAGAAAGCATCTGCTTCATAAAAACTATCTTCTCACTATCTCCATAGGCCAAAAGATTCTTTTTGCCTCTGCCCTTGCTTGCTCCCTACAATATCTTATTTTTTCTAAATATTCCTTTACAGCCTGGTCCTAGTCCTCTGCAAACTGAAAGGCACATAGAAGGGACTGAAATACTTGATTTGTTATTTGCTAATTAATTTGGGGCAAGTAATTAATATGACAGAAATTATTTAAAAATCAACTTTTGCTGAAAGCTTGTTAGTCAACAATTTATTCCCATTAATACTAAACCCCTTTACATCTTCCATGAACTTTTGAAGTTATCATATGTAAAAGCCTTTCATTTTGAAATTTTCAATGCAAAGTTTTCTGTTCCTCAGATGAAATATGATGAAATATAATAAATTAAGATATCTGATTTGAAATAATTTTCAAGTTTAAAGTATCAAAAGCATTATAGGAGTTAAATATATTTAAAACTAATAAGTTTTCTTGAGAAAACAGTTTCAGGGGTTACTACTTGATACTTTAACTTCTATATATTAGTTGGCTCTTCTAGACAGATTAAAAGAAATATAAATACCAATTTTCTTCAGGAATAAAAGCTGAAGGATGTGTGAGCATCTCTCTTGGACTAATCTGGGTAAGTCTTCTGCACCATGATGTTACTGTTGTCACATATCTAGAAATGAACACATTAAAATAAATACTTGAAAATGAACTTTTATGTGTTCTACACAAGTATACAAAAAATGGAAAAATCATTAAAACAATTTGGAAAAAAGGACAAATAAAAAATTAATTTTGTAAATCTTCCTCATTAGACAAAAAAGGCAAGCCTTTTCTATTTTACATAAAAAAATTGATTTATTCACAGTCATAACAAAGATACATTTAAGTCAAAATGAAGGTAATATTTGAATTTCACTTAAAGCTCAAATTCAAGTATTCAAATTTTCCTTTTGGTTTTTCAAAGTAAATTGAGTTTCCTTAAATTTTATCATGAAAATATATCTACACATAAGACTATGTGAGCATTTGCTTACTAAATTTAAACCAGAAAACACCATTAATATGTACATATGTACATGAACACACACATAATTATAACTGAATATACAAAACAAATATTGAGTTTAATAAAGTCCAATAGAAAATGAATTCAAGAGGTAAAAAAGCAGTTCTTTTGTTAACATTGTCAAGTAAAATTGCTAAAATGTCAAGACTACCACAAGTAGAATTACCATAACTAATAACAAATCACAAAAACTCAAAAAGTATATTCATAAAAACTGATTTCAAGAATCTTCCCAATTTTAAGAATCATTATCAGCTAGTTTAAATTTTACTTTATAGAATATACATACTTTTTGTTAATCATGATTGCAAACCTTATTTCATATTGGTTAGGAGATCAGAATTGGTTAGCACAGTTGACCATAGTTCAATCACCATAGCAAGTCAATTATGTCTGTTATATATTTTTAAAAAATAACTTAAATACAAGAAAGTGTAATTAAAGCAGCAGAGCTGAACACTGAAGCCTGATGAAATTACTTCATTCACATTATCCATATGGAAAAACTAAAAATGTATAGAACATTTAAATAATGTTTATATGCTTCCTTTCTGTCACTTAAAACATGAAAATATTTTTTTTTTCAGTGCCAGGGAGCAAACCCCGGGTCTCATGAGTACTAGGCAAGTCTTTACCACATTCCCAGCCAAAAATAATTTTTAAAATTGCTTTTTCAGTACCTTTCATATGGTCCAGGGTGTTCAATTTCAATTAACTCATCTTGTCCATCAGGAAAAGTTAACTTACACCAACCTAACTTGAGACCTTGATTCACCTTAAAAAGCAAGGAGGAAAGGTAAATTTTATCACTCTAAAACTGAAAACAAAAACATAAACAACCTCTTCTAACTTCATTATCAGTTTAAGAAAATAAGTAGATTGAATCATGAAAATTTTATTTTGACAATTTAAACATTATATTTTACACAACAATGGGTATCAGTCACCACTCACATAATTATTAAGAGAATAAAAATACTAATCCCTTGTGCTATAATGTGTTATCTTTATAAAAATGACTAATTTTGCCACACTGTTCTGGCTTGCTATGAAATCAGTAGTCTCTTGACAGATTTGATACCTAAAAAATTTGAGATAATGTGATTTTGTTTTCTTTGTTCTATATTCCATGGGTAAACAACAATAAAAATTATCTTCCAAATTATAGATAAGAAACTATAGCTAAGGATAATGTATATTTCAAAAAAAAGCAAGAAGATAGAATTTTGAATGTTTTCACCACAAAGAAATAATAAACGTCTAAGGAAATATGTTTATCCTGATCTGAACATTATACAATAAATACATGTATCAAAACATCACACAGTGCCCCATAAATATGTTCAATTTTTATGTCAGTTAAAGATGCTTCAGTAAATCTTAACTCTACACAAAAAAGTAGATTTCAGCTGGGCACAGTGGCACATTCCTGTAATCCTAGTAACGTAGGAGGCTGAGGCCAGAGGATCACACATTTGAGGGCAGGCAGCTTCAGCAATGTAGTGAGGCCCTAAACAACTTAGTTAGACCCTGTCTCAAAATGAAAAATAAAAGGGGTTGGGGATATGGCTCATTGGTAAAGCACCTCTGGGTTCAATCCCCAGTACGAAAACAAAAACAAAACAAAACATGTAGATTTCAATCTGAAGGATACTTACCTGTCTTTTTTCAACAGAAGAGCTGAAATTCCAATTTAGGGTTACAGTAATGCCATCTACAAAGATAGCATGTACTTTGTCATCAGAGTAGGCAAGAAATCTTCCCATGTTGGGTATGAATGATTCTTGCAAAAGCAAAGGCAATATATTGCTATCATCTATTCCAGATTTCTAAAACCAAGTAAATTTAAAAAGCAGGAAATTAAAGTTATCCATTAACAAGATTTAAATTAACATTAATGAACTCTGAGGCAATTTCTCATTCTGATTCAGAAGTTTAATACTGTAGAATTCTTAAGTATGTTTTAACTTTTCCAGAAGAGGATACCCAAAATAGTCTTATTTCAGAAGTAGATTAAGTTTTAACATCTTTGTAAAACTATTGTTTTCCTCTACATAAAAAATAGACAAAAATTAGGAAATATGGCAACATAGAGGTTTACAATTCAGTGAGTATGGATAAAAAAAGAAATGTCTGAGAATCATTTCCTCCAAATCAGAATTAAATAATTTATTTTTACAGTATAATAAATGTAAAATACACACCACATGATTTATACTATGTTTCAAATACAATCAATTCCCAGTCCCTTTCCCTCCATTAATAGCAAAAACAAACTGGCTAGGGGCTTGGCTCAGAGACAGAGTGCATGCTTAGCATGCTCAAGGCCCTAGGTTCAATCCCCAGCGCCTCCACCATCCCCCAAACACAAATAATTAAAAGTTTGATTTTTCAGTGTTTGTCAATTAGGTGGGTATTTTTTGAATAATATTGAATAAACCAATATTAATGTTAAAAGAAATTTCTCTCACAACTTGTTTGAAAACAGTTTGATCTTAGAAGTATGATATAAATAATAAAACAATTTTTTAAAATCTTGATTTTGAAATAACTTTAATATACCATTTTCCAGCAGCATATGCAATAGTTATGACTTAAAGAAAGTCTCGTCTTGGCACAATGTTGGAGAATTCTGTGAACATGAAAAAAATTCCTTAAACATTTGCAAATAATGACATCTTCCCATTCTAGTAACCCATCCACAATGCCATGTAACATTTTAGATGACAAGCAAGTCATTTCCACTGAAACAGGTTTTGAATTCTTTTCTTCTAGAAATCCTTAATCCCCTAGAAAGTAACTACTGTTGTTTTCCTCTATACTGATCTTTCCTAGTTAAGGCTATTCCTTCAATTTTTATCAATAAAATGACTCCATGGAGAGAATTAAAAGGTGTTCCTTTTTAAGAGGTGATAGATTTATAGGTCTGAAAGGTTTAGCATAATCTAAAAATGGTGGGTAAGTGAGTCAGCTATTTCTGGGATAACAAATTACAAATTCTGCTCCTTTAAATCTATTTTCAAAATTGCTTATAGATGTAAATTTATAAAAATAAATGATTTAATTCAATAATTCATTTTCATTATTCTGGGTGTCACAAATTAATGTTAAAAATAAGTGTACTTCATCTGTAATATACTCTCATAAATCTCTATTAATTTGAGGATAACAAAGAACTAGGAAGTTTTTCAACTGTATCATAAAAAGCCCAACTTGATTTGAAGAATAATAATGATGCCACACTGACCTACAGTAAAGGCGCTTATTTCCTCTAATCACTTGGTCACCATATATGAATGTTTCCCTGTAGTTTTAAAGCCAGAAGTATTCTTTTAATGATATAGATTACCTTATTTTATAAATTATGAGAATAAGGGCTGGGGCTGTAGCCCAGTGGTAGAGTGCTTGCCTCACATGTGTGAGGGACAGGGTTCAATCCTTAGCACCACATAAAAATAAATAAATAAAGATATTGTGTCCATCTTTACAAAAATAAAAAATTAAATAAATTATGAGAATAGAAAAGTTAACACATTTTACCAAAGACATATACTTTTATTTTACCTGCCAATTATTCTCATCTTTAACCAAAGGAAAATGTATCAAGGTTACAGATGTACAACACTTGGTTCAACAGAATGTGAAGAAATTACCTGGTGGCCTGTTTAATCAGAGAACACACAGAGAACGGATTTCCTGGTCTATCTGGAGGAAGGTTATTTACTGAGTAAGTTTTCTCTTCTCTCTGAAAATTAGTTTAAAATGAAAAATCTCATTAATAACATATTTTGCCAGGCAGGCATGGTGGTACATGTCTGTAATCTCAGTGGCTCAGGAGGCTGAGGCAAAAGGATCACAAGTTCAAAACCAGTCTCAACAACTTAGTGAGGCTCTTAAGCAACTCAGGGAGACCCTGTCTCTAAATAAAATATAAAAAAGGGCTGAGGATATGGCTCAGTGTTTAAGTGCCCCTGAGCTCAATCTTCATACCAATAATGATTATTATTATTATTTGCCTTTATTACCTTTTTATTGAAAATGTTTTTACACAGTAATAAGGCAGCAGTTATTTTAATAGTCTAACACTATAATAGCTGTATATTTCAAAGGTTTTCTATGATGCCTTTCCATTGTCCAATTTTTTTAAAGTATAGAATTCCACATATCCACTCTTTTTAGTCAGTTTTTTTTTTTTTTTTTTTTTTGCTGCTGTGATCAAAAAAACCTGACAAGAAAAATATTCAGGAGGAGAAGTTTATTTTTGGTTTCAGAGGTCTTAGTCCATAGATAGCTGGCTCCATTCCTTGGGGCTCTAGGTGAGGCTGAACATCATGGTGAAAGAGTGGTGGAGGGAAGCAGCTTACAAGTTGATCAGGAAGCAGAGAGAGACTCCACTTGCCAGATATAAAATGTTTACCCCAAAGACACACCCCTAATGTACACCTCCTCCAGCCATACCCTACCTGCCTCAGTTACCACTCAGGTAATCCCCATTAGGGGATTAATTCACTGATTGGGTTATGGCTCTCATAACCCAATCATTTCACCTCTGAATGTTCTTGTATTATCTCACATATGAGCTCTTAGGGGTAACCTACTATCTAAACCATAGCACCACTCAATATATTCTAATAGCCTATAACTTACTGTCCAATTTAAATCTTGGCTATACATAAACCAATGTAACAAAACTAATTTTCCTACATATTAGCAGAAACTTTATCTCATAAGCCACTCTTTTACCTGAAGAGAAAAGGCTATATATATATAGGTTTTAAAAATAACTATTTTAATTGGATGAATATATCATTATGTTAAATTTTATTAATGGAAGACCTATTGCTATAGTTGGTGGAAGACAATATTATTTACACAGTTTTTTTTTTTTTTTTTTGGCGGGGATGGTGCTGTGGATTGAACCCAGGGCATCATGAATGGGAGGCAAGAACTGTACCACTGTGCCACATGTCCAGCCCAGCCCTGCAGGATCTTAAAATTAAAAGGAAAAAACAATTATTATTTTGTTATTCCTTCTGCATTTTCTCTTTCTTAGACCTGCTAGTGTTTCCTAGGGCTTGCTTTCTTACATTTAGCTCTTTTTAATTTACCTGGAATTTATTTTGGAGTATGTATTAAAGCAAGAAGCAAAACAATTTTATCCCCCCAAAAGAGTCAATTGTTTTTAAAGCTTTTCATCAAAGCAGTTAGAGAAGAATGGATGTGTTGAATAGAGCTCTGAGAATAAAGCCCAAAGCAGTCCACCACAAATGAAAATCTTGTTTGGAAATAGGATGTTTTTATCCCAAAAGCTCATGCTTCTAAAGAACATTATATTTGCCTCATTAAAAAAAAATCATCACTCTCCCCCTGACAGCTTTGAGTAAAACTGAAACTCCATGAAGACGTTCTACATTTATCTTGCAATATTGCACATCCCCTAACATACAGCAGTCAGCAGTAAGACTATGCATACTCAACTTATTTGCCTGTTGACTTGATTGGACACAACACACTCACGTACTTACATATACATATGCATTATTAGTTCACAAGTTCATCTCATTTCCTCATTTGTCTCTCTACTAGATTAAGAACTGTTGAGGGCAAGAACTCTTTCATCTTAACCAGTGCGCTTACCAGTGTGCCTACCAAAGGGTAAGTGTTGATGTTTATTGAATGAATGAACACTCTCCTAGAAACAGACCTCTGTAGAGGAGCTGCTCAAATATATACTGAAACATTTACGAATGAAATGATTTTTGGGGTTTACTTAAAAAATAAAATAGGGAATTTGGGGCAGATAGTGGGAAGTATAGATGAACAAGTTGGATAATGGTAACATAAGAATTCATTATATTTGTCTCTCTACTTTTGTACACGTTTGAAATTTTCCATAGTTAAAAAACATCTCCCTACTGACTCTGATGATTTTATTACTTAAATACTCCACTCTGGGGCAAAGCATTTTATTCTATTCCTACCTATAAAAGAAAATAATGTGATATTATGGTAATTGCTATAATAAGGTGGACATCAACTGTCAGATTGGCAGGAAACAATTTAAAACTCATCAACAAATACCCACATTATTATTTATATGGTCAGTAAACATGTTATGTTTCAGTGTTTTCAAAAACAGAACAATATTATTCAACCATCTAGTTGTATGTAAAGATGAATTAAGAGGTCTTAAACAATTACATAGTGGGTGGGAAATCTGCTTTATAATGTACAAATTTATTCATTCACCATAGTATACTGACTTAAAGTTACCGATTTCAGCATTTTCTATTGATAAAATTATATAACAGGAAATTTAGCTTCTGATTTAAACACAAATTGCTTAAGGTATTGAAGAATAGTAGATTAGAATATAATAAAAATAAGGTGGTTATAACTAACCAGGTGCCAATGCTGACAGTAAGATTATATTAATTTTCCAGAATGAAGAGTTGGAAGCAGTGTTATATAAAAACGTTTCTATATATATATTCTGATTTATACCAAAACTCTCTCATAGTTTGCTTACCTCTTCTGATCCTTCTGGACTAGGATAATATGTAAAATAGTTCCCCAAATAGGCTCCCTCTGATTTGAAAACAGATCCATCTCCAGGATAAATCTCTATTGAGTTCACATTTTTATGAGTAAGCCTAAGGAAGAGAAATAATAATTGTTTTTCTAATTGAGATTAAAACATATCTGAAAGGAATCATCAAAAAAGGGAGTAAGCAAAGAAGTACTTTTTTGCTTTTATAGAGAAGTGGATCATTTTATATTCTGAACCCAACCATATAAATCAACTTTTTTGCAAAAGATAAATAGAACACACAGAAGTTGTTTATGTATTTACTTCAACAACTAAACTCAGAGTTTCTGGAATTCAGGTATCTTGTCTCATTCTCACAGCATCCCCAATGCCAGTCATTGTGGCTGGTACATAAACAGTCACCAAGCTATGTCTACTGCATAGAAGTTCTATACGACACTTCCAGAACCTGAAAATAAACTTTAGTAAAGAACTAGCATAACCAATACCTGATGGTTGAAATATACCAACTGTGCAGGAAGCTGTCCCTTATAGATGACCAGTTATACCCAGAGCAGCCAGGTACAAGCAAAGTATTGGTCATATACTATTTAAAAACTGAAGTTAAAAGTTAATTTTATTGGAACATATATGAAAAATATGTTGTCCGAAGTGGGTGGATCTTTACGTAAGAAATGGAGAGCCCATGCTCACCAAAAAAAATTATTTACCTCTGCTCTTCCAACATTATTCATGGAAGTCAAACTCTCCATCTGGCTAACAGTAATACTGTAAATCATCAGAGAGGTTAAGTAGTAATTGTTGAGTAGAAAGGGGAATCACTGGGTAGGATATCATGCACTAGTGCTGGTACAGAGCAGTTACTCAGTGAATGTTTGCTTTGAATCTTTAATTTGCTATCATCTTCTGTAATTCCATGTTCAATAGGTAACCTTGTGATATGGCTAATTCAGACAACTATGTTTTCTGATGCTTAGAAGGAGTATCCTAAATAACTGATATGAATATGACATTCACTAACAAAATTGACTCCTGAATGGCTTTGGAATTGCTGCAAACATCTTGTAAACATGGTTTTTGTGAGTGGGTCACAAGACCCATGTGCACCAATGACATTAGTTCTGAGACTTATAAAAATGCAAGATGAAACACAGGAGTACAGTCTGCCCAGCAAAACGGTGTCCTCTTGCAAGTCTATCTGCAAAGATAGTCCCATCCCATCTATGATACTGTAAATAAATAGTTCTAACTCCAACACAGGTTCCTTACCTATATGTGACACCCTTATACCAAACCATTTTCACTAGTTCAGGATAGGAATATTCTTTACCAGACTCTCTCTGTGCAAGTGAATCACAAAAATTCCACCTGTAGAGGGTAAAATATAGTCTATTTAATTCTGGTTACTCCAAATAATTGTCTTAAAAGTCAGCAAAATAGTGCCACTGTAACAACATTAATTTCTCGCTTAACTCATTAGATCAAAGTAAAATAAAATATGAAAGTATATTAATGAAGTTTAAAAACCAATCTTTTTTTCCATTATTTTCAATTGTATCAGTATTAGATCTCAGCACAATTATATATAAATCAACAGTTTTACTAATCTTTAAAATTTAGCCTGAATTCAAACAAAGATTTCCTAAAATGTTTATGGTGGGACAGGCATTATACTCTTAGGACCTAAGAACTCAAAAAAAGCAGATATGGTTCCTGCCCTCAGTGGAGATTCCACCTGGGCAGGAATGTTAAATAGTAATTGTTGAGTATAAAGGGGAATCACTGAATGCTATGGGCTTGTACAATGACCTAGCTTGTCTAAGATCTTTTGCACAACTACCTTAAAGAAGTGAGGTTTACGCTGAGACATGGAAAATGAGCCAAAGTCAGCCAGTTCAGGGAAATGCTCCTGACAGAGAAAAGAACAAGTGTAGTGGTAAAAGAGAACTTGAGTGAACATTCTAGAGATTGCAAAAGTTCAGTTTAGTAAGAGTACAGAAAACAAGGGTAAGATAGTGAGAAAGCTGAGGATTACAGATACAGGAAGAGACTAGATCACGGAAGACCAATTAAGATTAAGGATAATGGTTAAGGAAAAGGATAATGGTTTTCAACCTAAAGTCAGTGGTAAGTAATTAAAAAAGCATAAAATCTCTTTTGAAACATAATCCTGGATTTTCCAATTTTAACAAGATAATCATGACTGAGTCACTCCCTTATTTTGTTTTAAATAACAAATGAGTACTTATATAGACTACCTGGAATCAAATTTCAATTCTATAAGTACTATCTATGTGGCTTTACTCAAGTTATTTAACATTTCTGGGTCTCAAGTTCCTCTACAATAAGGGGATGGTACTAGTACTTACCTCATGGGAGTACTTTGAGGATTAATTAGGTAAAGTACAACAGTGCCTGGCATTTAAGCTGTTCATATTAGCTTACTCTAAGATCCCTGGACAGATTCCTGTCCCATCACTTACCACATCTAATTAATTTTTAAAAAGATTTTTTTTTAATCGTTGTAGATGGACAGCATTCCTTTATTGTATTTGTTTCATTTTTATGTGGTGCTAAGGATCAAACCCAGTGCCGCACACATGCTAGGTAAGTGCTGTACCACTGAGCTACAGTCCCAGCCCCCAAATTAATTCTTTTAGGGATAGTAACCTTCACTAAACTCTATGTTGCTAGAAAGTAGTGGCTGGGTCTTAAGTCATTTCCCCGGTCACTGTGCTTACCAAAGTATCCAGTGTAGAGTAAGCCTCCCCAAAACATTCAATGCATGGACATAGAATAAGAATTAGATATAACACCTTTGCTAAGAAAATTATTTACCATCTATTAAAAGCAAAGATTTGTGGCTGGGCGTGGTGGCACATGCCTGTAATCCCAGCAGCTCAGGAGGCTGAGGCAAAAGATCCAAAGTTCAAAACCAGCCCTAGCAACAGCGAGGTGCTAAGCAACTCAGTGTGACCTTGTCTCCAAGTAAAATACAAAATACGGCTGGGAGTTCATAACCCACTTGAATCAAAGTGTGAAATATGATATATCAAGAACTATGTAATGTTTTGAACAACCAACAATAAAAATTAAAAAAAAAAAATACGGCTGGGGATGTGGCTCAGTGGTCGAGTGCCCCTGAGTTCAATCCCCAGTACTCCCAAACAAACAAACAAATAAATAAACAAATGCAGATTTGTGTCAATTAAATTAACTTTCCTTGTAAGTACTCCCAGATAATTTAGGAAGAAAATTATGCTTATGTAAAGACTAATTCTCATAAAAGCTTTATGACAAATAAACCATTCTTCCATTACCTGTGCAGGTGTGGGGCAGAACAGCTAAGTAACAGGGTCCTGGGAAGAACAGAAACCTCTTTTCTTCTTTCCTCTGAAACGTCAGAAGTTAAAATTCTACTCGTGATATCTGCAGTTTTAGACATGTTGCTAACTTTATTTTGAAAATGAAGTGCTAAAGACAAAGGGTATCTCCATTCCTCTGGACAGGAGGCGACAGACCAGCACTGCTTTACCCATGTGTATACATATGTGTGATTTGTATCAGGAAAAGGCAGCTCTCCCCTTTCTTCACTTCCATTTATACAGTTCATCTTCCCTAAAGTTTCTTTGGATTTTAAGACCTGGCAATAAAGCTCATTTTCTTTATTCTTCAGTCTTTGTCCTGATAAAGCCCCATATGTACAGATTTTGCTGTTTTTTTCAACTAGTCCACCTTTTGGGGCTTGATTATTTTTTTCTGAAAATACTACAGATGAATCTGGCTTTTGACTAACTTTACACAAAAAATGCACTGTAAATTCATGCTGAGATTTGGGCAGGCAAAGGTATGCATGACCATCTAAAGATGTTATCTTCACAGTGCCACTCTCTGTACATATCATGCTATCATCTGGATCGAGACGGGGCCATCTGACTTCAGAGATGTCAATGAAGATGCACTGCATTAAAAGAAAGGGCATGGTGAGTAATTTCTGTTAACAGTCATATTTTTCAATACTTTTTGAAAAACTTTTTCTTAGTTATACACAGACAAAGTATCTTTGTTTTGTTTATTTATTTTTCTGTGGTGCTAAGGATTAAACCCAGTGCCTCACACACGTGAGGCAAGCGTTCTGCCACTGAGCCACAATCTCAGCCCAACTTTTGATATTTAAATATCAAAAGTTATTGAGAAAGCTCTTAATGCTTGTTTGTATTTTTATTACTTAGACTGAAAAAATGGAGAGCCTAATATATAGCTGTCTAGAGAATATGTGATAGTTAACATTCTCTCTTTTAGTAAAAGAGGTAGAAAATACACACAAAATGAAAGGAAAGAAGAAAAAAAAGTACCTTGATTGTATTTAGTGTTAAACATATTTAGTGTCACAAATATTCTGTGGACTGTGCATGGACTATGTTGCGCATAGTAGCCTCCTGAGGGAATAAGTCTGGCACTGGGAACTCCTTGGGGCACTCCCCATAGGGACTGACCACCTGGTACAGGAGGACTTCTCTCTCAAGCTCTACCTAAGATCCCACATAGCACCTGAGATGGGTGTGACCTGCCAAGATGTCAATCAACATGCTGACTGCAAGACATCACAAAACAAGACTCTACCCTTGAAACCTTACCCCTGCCTTTGATGTACCCCCTTAAATAAACCACCACAGCCATTTTGTCTTTGTCTAGTTCAAGAACCAATGTGGACTAGATCTACCAGAGGCTTCGCTTTTGTAAATATATTTCTGAGTGTGTGTGTTTTATTATTTGTTAATTATTTGAGATATTAAGATTTAGAGTGGCTTGGACTCCTCTGGGCAGAAGAACCCCCCCCAATGAGATGCTGGCTGTCTTCCCCCCAAAAATTTAGGTTTAAAATGTACACTGAATTAGAGATAAGTAGATTGGCATATCTCCCACCCTAAAAGTCTACTCTGAAAAATAATATAAATGAGGAAGGAACCTACACTGTGCCATATTTTAAAAAATATATTTATTTTTTAGTTGTAGTTGGACACAATACCTTTGTTTATTTATTTTTTTAATGTGGTGCTGAGGATTGAACCCAGGCCCCCAGACGCGTGGCATGCTGAGCTACTACCCCAGCCCTACACTGTGCTATTTTACAATAAAAGCAATCAGAGCTTAACTGGTATGGAACTAGCACAAAAGTCACTTCCAGAACAATTCAGAAAATACAAAAACAGACTCATTCATATCTTAAATTGTTACAAGTGATAATGTATGCTTTTATATATTATCAAAGGGGAAAAGACAGGCTTACTTAATAAATGGTACTGGAATACTAAATTACTAAATAGCTTTTGGGGAAATGGTGTCTTAGAAGGTTATCACATGGACTTAAAAAATAAGATAATATATAAAGTATCTGCCAGATGATACATGGCATACCATAAACTAAAATAAATTCCCAGTGGCTTAAAGAGTAATTTAAAAAATTTTAACTAATTTGATCCTGACAAATAGGAAAGAGACTTATAACAAATAACAGTGCCTGTTGTGTTTTTTCATCTAACATATAAACAGAGGTGGCGCATACTATCTTAATTAAATGTTTAATTAATTTGACATTTCGGCTTCCATGTATATAAAAACTTAATTTTAAAAAACCTATTGTCAAAAAAGACTCTTGAATTATAGTGCATCTACGTTACAATGCTAAAATAAAGGCAGTAATTTTTTTATGGCAAACCTGGTTTGTAAGAATGGTCAGGAACTTTTTTTTTAGAATTAGACTATCTAATTATTCTATTGCAGAATCAGTGGCAAGCTACATAATTTCAATGAATAAAATTACTCAAAAGATACAATGAGGGGCCAGGGATGTAACTCAGTGGTAGAATGCTTGCTTAGCATGAGGGAAGCCTAGGTTACATCTCCAGCACTGAAAAAAAAGGACAATGGGGAAACAAAACCCTCTAGACTAAGTTAAAGCTTATACCTTTTTACCATTCCTTTGCCACAATACAAAATAATACAATTATTCAGTAGGCAGTAAGCATCATAAAAGCATAAACAGGTTGCAGAAAGATAGTTTGGGGTTATGGGTCAATGGTAGAGCCCTTGCTTATGCCTATCATGCCCAGGGCCCTTGGTTCAATCCCCAGTACAAAAAAAAAAATACAGTAAATACAGTCTTCGGAGTTAGAGAAGGTTCAAATCCTAACTCTGCCACTTAGAATATTATTCCTAGTTCTTGGCACATATAGTATACCTTTAATAAATGATGGTGATTATTATTATTATTCCTCAAAATATAAACTCAAATATAAGCAAAAGAATAAAATTTTTACACATGTAATTACATATTCCTACAGATTAGGCCCTTTGCATTTTATAGCTTGTTTCTACTCCCAAGTGTCCTAGGGAGGAAACAAACAAACAAACAAACAAAAAACTGAACATTAAACTACCAGTTTCAAATTACCTATTCTCAAATCTTTATTTATAAAAATGAGGTTTGAGGGACTGGGGCTGTGGCTCAGTGGTAGAGTGCTAGCCTAGCATGCATGAGGCACTGGGTTCAATCCTCAGCACCACACAAAAATAAACAAATAAAATAAAGGTATTCTGTTCTACAAATTTTTTTTAATGAGGTTTGAAGAAAAATTACCTTTTTTCTTTCAGAAGGTATGATGCTTTCAGATAAAAAAAGGCAAGAAGCTGAAGAGTTTCGAAAATCTAGGGCTCGCTGTAGTTGCTCCTATAAAAAGAAATGTCAGATTTAATCTTTAAAAATATAAAAAGATTTGAAAATCAGTTTAGAATGACAGTAATCCAGAATACTAATTACCTTCCATATTCTAGCCCACTTCAACAATATTTTAGTATTAAAAATAGTAGTTTTATGACATTACTTACTCGGTAAGTGCTAATAACAAAGTGTGTCCTTTGACGAATTCTTTCTGGTTGTTCTAAAGGGTGTGCTGAAACAGGAGGTGACTTTTCAAATAAAAATTCAGAGCCACAGGGAGAAAGCTGTAATTTGGAACCATCAACATATTGGACCTGCACTGAATCATCTTCATAAAGTACCATTTGCACTTCGGCTGCCATTACAACAGGGTAAGAAGTCCTTTCAAGGCGAGACTGAAGGAAATGGAAACCACAATAGCAGATAGTTCTCTTAATGTACAAAAGTTCCACCAAAGTAAATAGATGCATTTTCTAAGAACATAAGAAAAACACTGCCACTGCATTTACTTTTGCTGGAAGGAAAGTGATCTTTCTACAAACACTTTCAATGATCTAAAATTAACATAATTAACAAAATGCCTTGATTAGCTCCTAGGACTTCACTCCATAGGCACATAACCTAGATGGAGAAGATAGCTCACAAATGTTAAAACTGTCTTTATCAGTTTTTGTAGTTTTACTTTTCCTGAGGTTTAATTTTTGTAAACTACATATATGCTCAGGATATAATTTCAAATAACAAGCAAATTACACTGTTGCAATAGGAATGCAGGGAATCATCTGAGGTACATGGGACTGAGAAGCTGAGTCACAAGGAACTATTAGGCCTAAACCACTGAAAAAGAAATTCAACTACCTGGATTCTTGTCCCTAGCCTGGAGTTAAAAAAGTAGTTCCACGACACTAGTGAATCATCTAATTAAACTCTTAGTGTCTTACATTCATCCTCATTTCCTGAATTTGATTTCTTACCTCGAAATGATTATCTTCACTTGTGTTCTTCATATAGGTATAATGGAAGGGCAATTAGAGAACTAGGTTTCATTGATACTCCACATTTACTAGTTTATAGTCCCAGATTGTTTCATTTGTAAAATGGGTAGTAATAGGATTATGAGGATTAAATGAGAAAATACACATGACGGTGTCTAGCACGGTAAAAGTTGCCTTGTAAGAGATCAATAAATCTTATGAAATATTTTTATTCCTTTTCTAATAATACATCCTGCTTCCCCTTCCATATTATCCCCTTGATTTCTCCAGTGATCAAGTTTCACCTTTCAGAAAAAATAACTTTCCATAAATAAGACCTTCCTGTTTTATCCCTATTTCCTATCCATAAACTTCTCAAGTGTAGTAAAACTCTTATTGCCCACTTTCTCTCTTATCAATCTTGGATTCATTACAATTCAGCTTTCTCCTCTCCCTCTCTATTGAGAATGTTTCACAATAGTCACCACTGTCTTCTTAATACCCAATGACTTCAGTCTTTATCCTACTAGAGATCTGATTAATCTGTGAAAATGCTGTTAAACCTTCCTTTGCACTAAATTTTCCCTTTCGCTACTACCATCACCTCACACCCCAGTTTGGGATGTGAGAGAAGTAAAGAGTTTCTCTCTACTTCTATTGCTCTTTTTAATCCTTTTTTTTTCCTTTATTCCCTAAATCAAGGATGCTTCAACCCTGACCTTAGTCCCCATTTCATCTCTTCTTACTATACTTATGTTACTTTTAAGCTTCACCCTGACTTTTTAAACCTCACCTCATTTAAATTGCATGTGATATAGCCCATAATCTTGTGTGGACTATGTCTGAACATAAGTATTTAGCTATATGGTCTCTTTTGAGGAAATCACACAATTCTATTTATTTTAGTTCTCTAGAGAACTTCTGATCTTCCTCCAGAACTTTCAGCTAGCTGCGTGCTATCCTGGTAGGTTGCTCTCCATGTGTCCTACAGATAAATCAAATTCAATATGACTAAAATGGAGCTTAATCATTCCTACCCAAAGCAGACTTCTAGGCTCAGTGGTAGAGCACTTGCCTAGTATGTGTGAGGCACTGGGTTCGATCCTCAGCACCACATAAAAATAAATAAATAAATAAGCAGATTTCTATAATATTCCCTAATTTCACTTTCACTCTTATCTCTTCCCTTAAGTCCAGTCTAAATTCAGTAGTCAAAGCAATCTTTTGAAATAAAAATCAGATCTATCATTTGCTGGCTTAAAATTCACCAATACGTTCCACTCTCAGTTGGAATAAAATTCAAACTCCTAGGCGTAGCCTACAAAAGGCCACACAATCTTGTCCTCTTTCTCTGTCTCCAAATGTTATCTCCTAACTCCCTTCCCCTTGTTCAGGACATTTAGTCATATTGGTCTTTTTAACATTCTTTAAATAATTTCTTTCCTATCTCAGAATCTTTGTACTGGTCTTTCTGACTTTTCCGTGGTTCATCACATCATTAGTTCTTTGTCATCCTTAAGGTCTCAACATAAATGTCACTCCCAAAAAGGCCTAACTTGACCAACTAAGTTAAAGTTGCTCCCAATCACCTCCTATCCTACTTCATATTTTTTCTTCATAGAGTTTATTACTATCAAAAGTGACTGTTTTGCACTTTCCCATTAGGGTACAAACTCAAAGAGGCAAGGACCTTTCCTATCACATTCACAATTCTATCTCTGACACCTAAAACAGTATTAGGCAAATAACAATGGTACAATAAATATTCAGTGAATGATTAAAGAATAAATAATCACATTTAAAAATTCTTGCTCCCCTCAAGTTTGCAGTTTCAGTTAATGGCACTTAAAAGTAGATTAACAACATGTATTTGAATTCTTACATGCCCCTGTAACAAGTCCTGTTGATTCTCTCTCTTGAACTTGTCTTTCTTTACACCCGCACTTTTTTTTTTTTTTAAATCAACTTTCTCCGTAACTTCTGCAGCAGTCTAGGACCTTTTCCCTGTTTTTTTCCCTCTTTATTCCATCTCTAATATTGCTGTCTTAGGGAGCTTTCTACAAGTTAGGCCATACTAACTGCTTAACATCCCTTGTTTACATACCTGTTAAATGGCAACAAATGGTAATGTTTCTATCTCACACATACACACACACATCCCTCAGATATGTCTCCCTGATGTTTCAAGAAAAAAAGTGGTGCTTATTTTCTTATTCCAAATTGCATAAAACGGTTTCCATTATTGGCCAAGGTAAAAAAAAAAAAAAAAATAGCTGGGGTTGTGGCTCAGAGGTAGAGCACGTGCCTAGCATGTGTGAGGCACTGGGTTGGATCCTCAGCACCACATTAAGTAAAATAAAGACACTGTGTCAACCCATAACTAAAAAATAAATATTTAAAAAAATAGCTTTACTGATGCATAATTACTTTTAATTATCTTTGGTACCGGAAATTTAACTCAGTGGTGCTTTACCACTGAACTGCATTCCCAGTCCTTTTTACTTTTTTATTCTGAGGCAGGGTCTCACTAAATTGCTGAGGCTGGCTTAGAACTTGGGATCCTCTTGCCCCATCCTCCGGATTACAAGTATAAACCACCGCGCCTGGCTATAACTGCCTTTTTTTAAGGCTTAAATAATCAAGCATACACAAGAAACAATGTAGTGCTCAAAGTCCCTGACATATCACAAGAACCATAATCTGGCTCCAACCTTCATTTCCACTATCTAATTACTGTTTGCGTTCTCACACCCAGCATATTACGTCAGAATTTAATGACAGAAAAAACACAAACTAATCTGTTCTTGACATCACTGGGCAACTCACTTATCAAAACATGGTATCTAGTTACCGAAAAAGCCTCATTCAAACAACCACAAACGACACACTCACACAGCAGTTCTGAGCTGCAAGTTGTGGGAAGGAGGTCTCTTTGAGTTTTAATTTGTCAAAAAGCTTGAACCGCACAGCGTCCGCGCCTGCCCACGACTGCTTCTTCAGGAACACTTCTTGAATTTAAAAAAATTCTTGATGAAGGAAAACAATCAGTTGCAGAGGCCTTGGGCCACAGAAGAGGGTTTTGGCTGATAAGTTTTGTGGTTAAATCCCCGCAACGGGAGATGGGCGGCAGCGCCAACGGCGACAACTAGGAACAAGGGGAAACTACAGCGGTTCCAACCTCGGCGCCGGGGAAGCAGCTATACGTCTCCGGAACAAGAAAAACCGGAAGTCCCGCCCCAAGTCCCGGGCCACACCCCGGCTCGCTACCTGCAAAGGGAGGGGCAGGAAGCGCGGGAGAGGGTGGGGTTTCTCAGACGGATATCTGGTCTGCGCGCCTTCGGCCTTCACTTCCGATACGTGACTCGGAAGGGGAGCTGCTTGTACTTATGTTGGTAAGCAACAGCCTTGTAGCGGTGCAGCCAACCACTGACCAACCACCAGGGTGGTGGCAGCGGAGTGATCCTTATGTAAATAACCTAAACAACAATTATATCCCTCAGTAAAGCTGATTAAAAAAAAAAAAACAAAACTTGGCCTCTTCCTCATAAAGCATCAGAAAATGTCTTCCAACTATATTTACTAATTACCATTAACAAGAATTTACCGAGAACATACTATGTTTGCCTTTAAATAGTATGGCTGAAAGCAAGCTCCTTTAAGCAGCATTAGGGCGGAGAGAGGTCTAAAGGGGAGAGAAGCCTGGAGTGTGTTTAGTGGGCAGGGGCCAGATCATTATGGATTTGAGTTGTGGACTATTAGGAAAAGAGCACGTCTCTTTCTGGCCCAGATTTTTGTTTTAAAACAGCTTTATTGAAGTATACTTGTTTATTGCAAGGACTTTAAGCAAGTGGCAAAACCGACTGATGGGAAGACATCTAACTTCCTAAATTCACCTTCATTTCTAAAAGACTGATATGCAAATTGATCTGTCTTCTGTGAAGTATAAAATGTCGAATGGCACTATACAGTGCTTAGTTCTATTCCATCCCCACCATTTCCTCCTTCAATGTCTAAAAACTTCTTGAATAGAAATTCTACTAAAGAAGGATTTTGTGATCCTACTTGCACTTCTGAAAGATCTTGTAACTGCTTAAGAGAATAGATTGTAGGATGCAAGAGCAATATGGCAAAATCACTAGAAAGCTTTTGAAAAAGCATCAGGAGAGAAAATAGAACTTAGTACCTAGGCAGTAAGGAAAGAGAGCACAGCTCCAAGAAATATTTAGGAACTCCACTCTCTTCTTGGGGATTATTGAACCTGGAACTTGAGGGAGAGATGTAGGAGTACAATATAATGCCAGGGTTTCTGATTGGAGTAAGTGGAAAGGTTGCAGGGCCACCATTGAGAGGGAGGAATAAATTCAGGGATAGCATGACTTCAGTTTTCTAAGTCTACCTGGTGGAAATGGTAAGTTAGTTAAAAGTCTGGAATCAAGAGATACAAACAAATCTATAGGTTACTGGCTGATAGGTACTAACTGCAGCTACAGGAGAGGATGAACAGTCCTAGAACATTGTAATATGAGAAAAAGAGAGTGGTTAGTACTGAGCTTTGAGAAACACCAATACTTACAGATTAGGTCAATAGAAGCCCACAAAAGAATTGAGGAGGAAAATAATAAAATAGAAAGCAAGTTATTATGTCTTAGATAATTAGAGATTTTCAATTTTTGTGTCAGCACTGCCAGAAGACAAGCTAAATTGTTTCCTGGGGCTGGGGTTGTGCCTCAGTGGTAGATCACTTGGCCTAGCATGTGCGAAGCCCTGGGTTCAATTCTCAGTGCTACATAAGCAAATAAATAAAGGTCCATCAGTAACTAAAATATATAAAAAAAGAATTGTTTACTGAATTTAGTGATGTAGAGGTTGCTGATGACAATAGTGCTGCTCACTGTATATAGTGGAGAGGCATAGTGGATTTGAAGATCAAGTAAGAGACAAGGGAATGGAGAAAATGA